AGGAGAACATGACAATCGAGGAGCTATTCACTGAAATTTTCACTGAAAGTGAAAAATTCGAAATTTTTGTAAAAGTATCAGGGGAACATGACAATCGAGGAGCTATTCAGTTTTTAACCATTATTTCGATTTATTAGCCAGTTACAAAAGAAAAAATTGGAATTATTTAAAAAAAAAAATTAATGACGGCGGGATCGAACCCTGGCCGTCGGCGTGAGAGGCAAGCGCGTTACCATTGAGACAACGTGCTCATTCTGAATATAAAATTTCATTAGGGGTATATATTTTGAAAAAGTATCTTTTTAAAAACTTTCAAATTTCTCAATTTCACTGGATATCTTCTCAATTTTCAAAAATTCAGTTTTTAAACGATATTCCATTAATTAACCATGAATTTTTCAATTTCAGTGAATACCTCCTCGATTTTCACGCTCCCCAGCTCGGTTAAAAAAAATTTCAGCAATAATTATCGACCCGGCAATGCACGCAACGAGTTTTTCACTTAGGTGTGTCACGTGCACGTTTTGACAGATAAAAAAAAAGTAGTCACGTGCATTTCGCGATCGCGTGAGCCGCGTGAGCACCGGGACACGTGCACGTCCTAGAGAACCTGACGCAATGCAACGAGTTATATTTTTATATCAGTTTAGACATCATCCGAAGAATGAGTAAACCACATTTTTTTCGAAGGTAATTTCTATCAAGAAATTTAATTGACATGATTCCCCCAAGAATTTCACTTCCAAAAAAATCCTCTCCATTTTTTTCTGATATGATAACAGCTGCCACAGGCCCGTAATCTATTGAAATTAATTAATTATTTATTCCTTCATTCTATTTTCAATAAAAAAAACATTTCCACTTCAATTTTCCATTTAACTAGAAGATCTCCAATTATTCCCGGAATTGTTCACCAATTTTATAATTAATTAACTGAATTCCCGATTGGAAAATGCAAATGCGGGAAAAATGAATTAATAGATAAACGAATATTTTCTGAGAGTACGATTTCTCATTGGTTTATTGGTCCTTAAATTCTCACAGGTATGATTGCACTTTGAACACGTGAATGGAATAGTGTCAGGGCCGTTCACGTGAACGGCCTAGTGCACTCGCCATTAAATCGGCAGCGGGAAAAGTCCTTTTACTAGAATCAAGAATCACAACTATTGAATTCCAATCTTTACCACCCGAGCCTTTCAAATCCTTTCTCCCCGTGCAACCCCGTGGATTATGATTCCTCGGATTGAGTGGCCAAAGTCACTGACAATTCGTACTCAACTCCGAAGAGACCACAACTGCACTCAGTAAATCGCGGAGATTGCGCGAGTGCAGTCGTTACACTCCCCCGGTCGACTGCATTTTATTAATCACCGCTTCGATAATCGACTCTAATCATCAGACACCTGCAGATTACGAGAGCATCGAAATGCTGGACTGCGAAAATTTTGGCCAGACATTTTCACCTCTACCCCCTGATAAAATTGACCTGGAGTCGTTAGTCATCGAGGAAAATTCCGCTGATTCCGATTGTTGGCAGGATGAGGTGCTCCAGGATCTCAGGAAGCTCCAGCGGTTACGAATTGATGATTCATCAAAGGTGTCATCCGAGGGTATTCGAAAACAATTATTTATTCAGTACATTGCCTGCCAAATTTCTATAGAAAAAATAATTGAATTGAATTCAAATTAATTATTCAATAATTAATTTTCAATTCCGTACAATTTGTTCTCCAAAAATATCTGAATTGCAGATCTTGTAAAAATAATAAGAGAAGGCCACAGCCTCCGGGAGTTATCGCTCTGCTACTCGCACCTGTCAGAGGACCTTTTGCGAGTGCTATCCCGTGATAATGTGTCCCTCCAGACGATGCGAATTGAGGCGCATACCGAGCCGAAGCCCCTGGGGAGGATAAGCGATACATCGTGGTCAGCCCTTCAAACCCACTCCCCGGGTCTCAATCTCGTTATGTAAGAAATAATCAATAGACTGAGAAATTCCCAATAATCCTTGGAAATGTTCAAGGGCCTGTCACTTCGAGGACGACGAGGATTACGACGCAGTCCTCGCAGCCCCGATAACCCATCTGTACCTCGGGGGATCCCCGTCCTCAAAAATCATCCACAGAGTCAGTGAAACCTGCCCTCGACTCCTGGAGCTCGTGATAAATTCCACTTCCGGTGTCATCGATGAGGAAATCCTGGCAACTGCCAGGGGATGCCCACAATTATCTGCTGTAGGACTTGGTGACTGCGAAATTACGTGAGTCGTTTTACAGGATTTATTCATACTCAGGGTAAAATATTATTTTATCCCAGACCTGGGGAATACCTGGGAATACCTGGGGATTCTTACAGGAATTCGTCAAATTGAAATTTTTGCATTCAGGTGTTCAGCACTCGTGAAATTCGCGGATATCTGCAAAGACCGACTGAGAATTCTCTATGTCTGGGAGACGTCTCTCATCGAGGATGGGAATTTCGACGTCTCCGAGGCTGTGGCCAGTGTATCCTCGTTACTAGGGAGGTCGTGGACTCCAGAGTACGTGCCACCCTGGTGAGGGTACCTCAATAAATCCTTGAACTCGATTTTTACACACAGATGATAAATCATTAACTGGTTGAACTATTTTTATAGTATCCCCTATTTTAAATTCTCAAACTCAACGAGGAAACAGTATTTAATATATTTAAGTTGATTATTCAATAAATTTAAATTCATTCGAATATTTTTACCGAAAGTTCTTGCAGATTTTCTATTTATTTTATGAACGTGAATACGGAATAATTGTTTACTCGTTAGTTTAAATGATCAGATGTGACGAGTAAAATAGTATTTAATGAACTGAAGTGGATGATTAAGAGCTGATATTTAAAATACTGCTAGAAAGATTATGTTTTTAGTGGAATGGAGATGTTTATGCGGTTTTTAAAAAATTATTGTGAGAAAAAGATGTCCGGTAGTCACAAATCACCCACATTTATCTCCAATTAACGTATACAGATGTATTATGCGTATGTACATCAAATTATTTACATACAAATAACGTTATTATTTACAAAATGATATACGTGGAATTACAAGTATCGCCAGTGTTTATTGGACGAGCTCATAATTGCACATCAACAATCATGCCATGTTACTCTTCACAACTCCATCGTTAATTCTACTGATAATACTAGGTTACTGTCACAAGGCTCTCAGTCTTATGTACTAGCTGGTACACCGGAAATAAAAGATATTATCCACAACTCAAATGAAATAAACATTTTTTTTTTAAATCACGTGGAGCCTCGGGAGCGTAAAACCATTAATAGAAAAAATTGTAATTTCAATGGAACACGTGAAGGAAAATGAAATTTTTCACTCAATTGAGACCAGCTTAGTCTGTTGTTATTTTAATAAAGCTTTGAGTTGAAATTCGCAGTTATTCCATCTAATTTCTAATTATTTATAATTATCACCAACGAATAAAAATGGAGGACATTGGATTCCAGAAATATAATAACTCCAAGTTGAATCACTCGATTGAACGATTAAACATTATTAATTAATGTCACGAGTGCCTTATGCAAATTCATTTCCCGACTTCCGTTTATAAAATAAGGCAATGGACTATTATGAATTCTACCCTGAAATGGGGCTTTCGCATGAATTTTTTCACTGAAATGACGAATTAATTATGAATATTGCGGACGTTTTTTTAATTTAAAAATAATTAATAAAAAAAGTATGTTTTTCATTTGTTGATAAAATCATTGGTAAAAAAGGTCATGACGTTTGTAATTAAAATATCATGCACAACCCCATTAATCGCGAAATAAATGACTGAACTGAAATTCTTAGTCATCAAGACCGTCTGTCACTACTCAATCGACGTAATTAATGATTAGTGATGTTTTATTGAATACATCAATCAGTCTGTCTTCAGATTCATAAATCGATTGTCAAATGAATCTATGGAGAAGAGCCTGTCACGGCATTGTGCGACTCAACAGGAATTGGTATCGATGGGATAGAGCAGAGAGAACTGATAAATATCAATCTGGTAGGTCTATGGATACGATAGGCACGACTGGCTTCATTAGGTCGATTTTTTTAATGTGTTTTTCGCCTTTTTCCGACACCATTGGCTCGGATGGGGGTTGATCCCTATCTGTTCGTGATTGATAAGAAATGTTTCCGTATTCCTGGAGGAGGGGACAGAGGCCGAGGAGGAAGTGACAAAAGTCTTTTCGCAGTCCGAACCACCCTGAAACAAAAAAAATTATATTATAAATTAAAATAAATCGTTTATGCTTATTTTCATTCTGATAATTCAATCATTCATTTTCTCACATCTATTTCCCCCTTTGGCACCGAAAGACATCAAAATTAGTGTCACGTGGGAGAGAAGTAGAGGTGCAGCGACTGTCGTGTAATTAAATGAAGTATCTCCATCCAATTTGTTCGCCAGTAAGACCTTCAACAGATTGATAAATAAAAATTCCTGTCTGTTGAATTGAGGGGGAATTTTCAGTTGGTACTGACTTGAAATACCAGTATTGGCACAACGAGAAAAGTGTAGGCCAGGGCTGAGTTGAGGGAAGTCCTCCTGACACGAGCGTTCACCTGGGGGGCCCTGAGGAGAACAGCTGCAAATACAATGGTGTAAAGTACAGCGACGAGGGAGAGACAGAGGAGAGCCCAAAGAGGGACAAACACCACCTCCCAGCTCCACGCAATGAAACCGTCCAGACGAAGGGCAAGGAAGATGAACTGGAGGACATTCACGGCGCAGAAGAGCTCGAGCTCGAAGGAACGATCGTGTTTCACTGCCCAAATGCACACCTGTGGTCGATTGGGTTGATTTTAAGATGGAGTTAATTATCTCAGATTAAATTGTACAGGTTGAGACTCACTGCGATGGAGACAATCGATATGAAAATCAAGGGTATGAAGACGAGTATCCACAGGTGCCTCTCGGACTCCAGTTTATCGCACACCAGTAGCTCGAACATGAGGAGAATGAGGTGAAGAGCCAGGGTAATTAACATCGCCTTGTAATGGACGTAGGCATCGCCCTCGAGTCTCGCGTGGGGATGCTTCAACCAGACGTAACTTCCCACAGTTGCCCCCAGGATAACCATGCTCTTCCAGAACCATATTGGGCTGAATATCGACCAGTAACTCCATTCGATATACCCATCGAGCCGAAGTGCGAAGAGAATTGTAAATATCATCAGACATGTGTGCACCAGAAATTTGCTGCGACAAAAATACTTCATTTCAACAGCGAAGAGGTAAAATCATTGGATCTATTTAAATATTCAGCAATTCGGGGAATATCTCTGAATCTGAGAGGAATACAGAAAATGTGATTAAAGGAAGACCAAAAAGTGACTTGAATTTTTTTTTTATCTTCGAATTCACTCACGAAGAATTATTCACAAAAAATGACGAATTTCTCTCGATAAATTTCCTCGATCTTCATCAATAAAAATGGAACTAAAATAAATAAATTACCTAGGATTAAAATCCTGGAAGAGTGTCTGCAGATTCATGATTATAACCCAGAAAATCCGAGGTTGTCTCAGCGAATTCTAGGCTAATCCTCTTTGAAAATGAGTTAATCAACAAGTCGTTGAATTCGATTAACACCTCGAGGTGTAAATAGTCCTCATGACTCACGATAAGTCCTGCTCAATTAGTGAGCAAATTTGCAGGATATTGTTACATCTGAGCCACAAAAATAAAAAATATTTATATTAGTTACTGTGCCCCCTTCACCCCCGAGGACAAAACATATATTTGTGGCGCTAGTGGTTTTTCCGTTGAAATCCACCAATCAGCTGTCAAACGTGAGTCCCTACCGGTGATTTCAGGCACTAATTATTCAGGCACTTCCGTCTGGTGGTGAAGAGAGCTCTTTCCGTGTGTAAACTTAATCATGGCGGTGGGAAAAAATAAAGGGCTCTCGAAAGGAGGCAAGAAGGGAGTTAAAAAGAAGATGTAAGTGAATTAATATTTATCGTAGGAGTTTCTCCATTCATTTCTGCGGCGGGTCATGCTCGGGTTGTCTATGCAATTTTTCGGATGTTTGTGATTGAAGTGGATTACAAATGCCTCGACATGCCGCCAATCCTACCATTCTGACGTTTTTATTTTAATTACCGGAATGATTAAGGAGAAATGAAAATTTTAGGGAGATCCCAGAGGGACTCATTGGCCGAATCCAGGAGACAGTGACATTGTTAGAGATTTAATTGTTCAGGAGTATTTTGAGGTTATCGTCGTGGCATTGGATGGGATACACATTTTTTTATAATCACAATTTTTGGGTGGACTATTCTTAATTAATGGATTTTTGATCTTCTGCAGTGTTGATCCTTTCACCCGTAAGGACTGGTACGATGTTAAAGCACCATCCATGTTCACCACCCGCCAGGTGGGCAAAACCCTCGTCAACAGGACCCAGGGCACCAGTAAGTTTGATTTTTAAAAATAACTCTGCAACTCCAGCTTCACATGAACTAGATTTCGTTTTTGTGACGTTTTTAGTTGCGAGAGAAAATCGATTTGATACCACAGCGTTGCTATCATCTGTTGCAATGACTGAATTCATAATCGATACATACCAGAACAGAATAATGATATTTAATTTCCTACAAAAATATTTGGACGAATTTATTCAAGTGTAATTGACCAAGTGAATTTTTTTTATCGTTAGAGATTGCCTCTGAGGGACTGAAGGGACGTGTTTTCGAGGTGTCCCTGGCTGATTTGCAGAACGATCACGATGCAGAGAGGTCGTTCCGTAAATTCAGACTCATCGCCGAGGACGTGCAGCATCGCTCGGTTCTCACTAATTTCCACGGCATGGACCTGACCACCGATAAACTCCGATCGATGGTGAAGAAGTGGCAGACACTCATCGAGGCTAATGTCGACGTGAAAACCACTGACGGATATCTTCTCAGAGTATTCTGCATTGGATTCACCAACAAGGACCAGCTTAGCACTAGAAAAACGTGTTATGCCCAACATTCCCAGGTTAGCTCTCCCAAATTAATTATCCCAGAGCATTATGCAATTCTACTCATTGATATTTATAAATCACAATTTTACAAATATTCAACCGAATTGCTAATATCAAGGCTCCCTTCTTACCACGCCTTTTTTACCGATTCATTCAAAAGGTGATATTGTGTGGAGCGACAAATCGTTTACAATTTATTTTTAATCGATTAAATTATTGAGCCATTAAATCCGCACGTCTTCTCCCAGTGAAGTAGATTTTCTGATTTTTCACTCCAGCCCAAGTCGATTTTTTTATTGAATAAATAATTGAATTAATTAAATAGTCGATGCAATGATTTTTCAATCAGGTTCGTAACATCAGAAGGAAGATGGTCTCAACGATCACCGATGACATCGCCAAGAGCGACCTGAAGGGTGTCGTGAGCAAACTGCTTCCTGATGCCATCGCCAAGGACATCGAGAAGGCCTGCCAGGGAATCTATCCCCTCCACGACGTCTACATTCGCAAGGTGAAGGTCCTGAAGAAGCCTCGTTTCGAGCTGAGCAAACTCCTGGAGTTGCACGGCGATGGAGGTGGTAAGAGTGGAGAGCCTGGTGAGGCTGGCTCCAAGGTGGACCGACCTGAGGGTTACGAGCCCCCAGTCCAGGAGTCTGTTTAAGATCGACCAACATTGATGTAAAAAAAAAAAAGTAAAGAAAAGTAAAACCATCTGCGTTTGACAAAAAACACTTTTTTCATTACAATACCCAAGAATAAACCCCAGAATATTAAACATTACTATCAGAATCATCTTTTCGTATATTTATTAATTTTATTTTAATTACTCTGAGTCGGTGCTGATAACAAGATTACAGTTGTAAAAAATAATAAGGAAAATATACTAGTTGTATTATAATTTCAAACGTCGATGGCGTTCGCCACGACTGTCCAGCCACCGATTAGGAACGCCCTGAAGCTATCACTCCAGCTGCAGAGGGTGTAGATCAGCAGAGAAAAGAACATAATCTTCGTGAAGACATCTACCCAGTACATTCTAAAAAAAAAAATTAAAAAAAGGAGGATGCATCGTTAAGATTGGCTTTTAAAGTTAAAATTCTGTCCTGCTTACACTCGCATGTGCCTTCGAGCAGCAGGTAATGTCTCAGGAGGCTCATTGAGGATATAAATCCTCGCAGCTCGAATGCAAGCCTCGAAGTAGGCGTCCAAGTCCATGTCGTCCCCGTTGAGCTGATAGCTCTTCCGTTCTCTTTCGTTGAAATTACTCGTCAGTACCTGGATGCTATGATTCTCAAAGTCCCATTGATTATTCGCGTAGTACTCGAACACCTCGAAACCCTTGTTGATTCGTCGATGAACTCGACACATACTGCATAAATAAATGAAATCCCAAATAAATTCATCCCATTAACAATAAAAAATCAATTGACAAGTGGAGAATTTCGTTTTTATCGAATTACCAAATAATCTGAAGTACAGGTGAAAATATATGGCGACCGATCTAAATTTTATTAAAAATATATAATTTTATGGAAATATATCACCTCGGGAATATATTACAAATATAAAACTTACATGGGTTTGTGGCCAGCGAGGAATATCAAAGTGTCGATGAAATAAGCTGGAATCATGTGAAAAAACAAAACGCAGATGTTGTGGATGAATCGTGATTTCTTCATGCTACCACCTGGGTACCAAACGACACCATTAAGTGGAACCTTCTCCGTTATTTTACGACCGCGTTCAATAATCTCCCTCCACGATACTTTGAACTCATGGCTACTCGTTAAATTGTAAACCCTCCTCTCGTCTTTGGTGTGTATAAAATTCCAGGATACACCGAGAATGGCATTGACAGCGATATCAACGGGCAAATAATCCGCGTATCCCCGCTCATCGCAGTACATCGTTCTTATCACACCTTTTCCTGCACCAATTAGAAGACCTGTTGGTCCATTTATATTGTCAGTCCACCCAGGAAGGGGCTCTTTCCACACCGGGATTATGATACTTGGACTGCAAATTAATAAAACATTTCAAAGTTGAAACTACAACTGATCTACAGCGAAACCAACAGTTTTATCAATTAATATCGATAACTATCGATTTAAGATAGATGTGGTGAGGGACTTTTTTGGAGCTTTTGAAATTTCTGACGGAAAAGGTCTTTTGATATTTTTTTGTAAAACCAGTAGTTCTCGAGATCGATCGATATTTAATAGATAATTCGGGGAATCCCAAGTATTTTCGTTTTTTTTTGGTGGTTCGCTATTGAATTAATTGGAGAATCAAATCACCGGAGAATTATCGCTGGAAGATCGGCCATTGCCTCCTCCACGAGGCCCTCGGACAATGCTTTCGTAAAGGCGTAAGTGTTCGGCAATTTCCCGAGGATTTTATCCGTCATGGCCTCGATGACGTCGTCCTCCATCCACTCCACACATTTGATTATCTTGTGAGGATCTGCAGGTGGAGGGTACGGCTTCTCCTGGAGCACCTACCATCCAAAAAATCAGCATCAACCCACCCAAAAATTTATAATCAAATTTCCCTGAATCCGTGAAAAAACACTGAATCTAGTAAAAATCCCAAAACATTTTCATTTTGACTGAATTAAATTGCAAATCCCATAAATTAATAAATTAATTACATTTTTTATACATAAAACTCCAAGACAATTATCTTTTCTACTAGATTCATTGATTTTACTAAACCTCAGGGTGAAATTGAATACAAATTTATTTCCGCGCATTTTCCTTTATCATTTTCCCCGTATTTTTTCATTTTAAAATGTTTAAAAAACAGGCGATTATTAATAACACGTACTTTCTCCTCCAAGTGACAATAAGCTGTGCTGATGTGAGCAAATAGCACCAAGTGCTTCATATCTCTGGCCAATTCGAGCATTTGTTTGGTACCACGAGTATTAAGGAGAACAGCTCGTTTAAGGCCCTCATCAAATCTGCAACAATTGCGTGACAATTAATCCCAATTAAAATGTGGAGATCATGGGAAGTTATTAGCCCCACGAGGAGTTCCACAGTTTCGTGTTGAATACTTCAACAACATGGGAATAAAATGCAACGTCCGCGGATATTATAGAAAGGAGCGTTTTATTTCAATCTGACGAATTGATAACAAGTGATTGCACTGCATTTTTCATCTGACACCGCACGTCCGTATCCCATGCACGATTTATTCTGAAATTCTCCCTAAAAAATCAATATCTGCACTATTTTTTTTTATTACACTGTTAAATATTCTCCTGAAATTAATTGAAAATTCTATTGAAATTCCAGAATTCCATTCCATTTTTTCTGAGTGAAAACTCTCGAGTTCGTTTTCAGATTTCATATTTTCAGGATAAATTATGGAGTAATAATTCAATGATGAGTTAATTAAATAAATCATTACGTTGAGAGTGGATATGTGTGGAATGTGTGATTACCTCACTGTGGCAGCTCCGTGATAAACAATGCTGATCTTCTCGCAGAGCATTTTTCTGTCTTCAGGGGATAATCCTAATCCTGGCAGAGCCACATCTCCACTGACAACGGATACGGTCTTGTGGAGGGCTGCCAAACCCCGCTGATTCCTCACTTTCTCGAAAAGCTGTAACATCAATTCCCCGTGAATTTGTACCACACAAGTGTCGTAATAAATAGAACCGTTGGATAATGATATCTTCATTGAGATCTCCAGTCACGAGCTGAGTGGAATTTAGCATAACTGGATACTCACACATTCTCCCAACCGCGCCCTGATATCTCAGAGACAATAGAAGAAAATTATCCGTCAAAGATATTCTGAACCTTCTCTACGTTTTTGCGCCTGACGGAAAGAAAATCCAAAAAAAATTTGTACTTCTATCATTATTAACAAAAAATCTTCAATTGCCCCGATTTATACTGAGGAGTGCGTAAATTCATTCATTATTTCATTCATTACCAAAAACGATCAGAGACGACAATAATAATGATGAATAAATTATTTGTAATTATTATGTTACCTTATTATATTTGTAATGATAATGAAGGAAAAATATTCATGCAGGTAATTTATAAATTCTTGAGTTGACAAGATTATTACTCGTATCGCGTGAATATTATTAACAAAATAATTGTTTTATCTGTGAAAAATCGAAAATCTGTTGTTGCATCAGGAGCTAGGGTGACTATTCAGTCATAAAACATCATCAAGCTGCTGCTTAAACCCTACAATCTCTGAATCAAAGATTTATCTTTGAATTCCCGGTGGAATGGCGTATCAGGGAAAGTTTGAATGTGTAATCCCACTGATTATGAATGTCAGCCGGATATTTTGCAACGTACATGGTCTTGAGATGTCTATGGAGCCCGACAAAAATCAATCAGTAATTGAGAATGAGTTTTTATATCATTCTTGGGAAAATCACCGTCGCATTTGATTGAACCCGTTCTACTGCACGCGATAATCGTCACGCAATAGTTTTTCGTTTCATTTTTTTTTGCAGCTCGTGACAATGAACAATGGATATTGTTCCTGGTATTGGATGTGATACGAGGAATGTGATAACGAGAAATTGATGGATCTTAGGCTTCACCTGGAAGGGAAAAAAATCCTTGATCTCTCGGAAGGTTGCGGCTGTGTAATTTGTAACGTCAGGCAAATACTGAGATTGTCGTAATTCCGGGAATACCCCGAGTACGCAATGAATTGGTAAATTCAAATGTTAAGACAATACTAAAAAAAATCAATGGGAATTTTTCTCTATTCGATTATTCCACGGAAAATTAATTAATTACACAATTAATTTTTTCATCTCCATGAAATTTAAAAAATGGTGTTACACTCGATTTAAATGACACAACTTTTCTGGGGAGTGGAATTTCGTAAATTTCTTTTTCATTTTGATTTACAGAAGAGATAATAATGGATGGATTATTTGTTTTGTCAAATAGGAGACAATGATCGATGATTTCCATTGAGATTGACCAGTGATTTAAAAGAAAATGGCCTCGATGATAATTCAGTTGGCGTTAATCACCAGAATTCCCCAAAAAACCTGAATCGAGAATTTCGAGTTGCTGGCCTTGCCTCCATCACACGTACGATATTACGACTTTACCCGGTAATACCTTGGCCAATGATATAGTTATTGCGTTAAAATCTTCAGGAGAGATGTGACATAACAACCAACACCGGTTACTTTCACCAGACAGATAATAAGTTGAGCTTCGCTCGTTACTCTGAGGCCTTGACTCTGTTTTCTGCAAGTGCGAGACATCACCGTTTAATCATTATTTTTAATAATTATTCAGCATTTTGTTGTTCCACGAATCATTGATTTATCCCTAATGATGAGGTAACGAGTTGTTCTCAAAATTATTCCACTGGTCTCGATGACATGCAGCTTTTTTCAGGCACAACCACTTGACGCTTTCACTCAATTTTTTTTTTACAATCCTTAACGAACGTTCCTGATGTAATAATTTAACTCACCGCCGAATTGAACATCTCCTCCAGTCGATGTTTCGCGTCTTTTCCCTTCTTCGGTCTCACCAGGATGTGGATTTTACCCACTTTTGGGAGACAGCGCAAAAACTTTTCCACTAACACTTTCCCCAGAAAGCCTGTACCACCCGTCAGCAGAATTTCTTTGTTCTCGAACATTTCGGCTATTCTGTCTGGTAGATTCTCCATGTTTGGAGCTGTCATGTCTGCCACTGCCTCTGGAAATTATAATTGTTGGGGGGTCATTAATTTGACGAGCGGTGAAGATGATGAAGATGAATCAGGCAATTTGGGAGGTAGTTTAGTTCTCGGGAAATATCTTGGAATGCAAGAGAGATACCGATATTTTACCAAAAATCATTTTTACCGAAGGAAGCGAAACCTGTAAAAAAGGTTCTTATGAAAATTTCGCTATCTTTCTCCAATTCTGAAATATTCTCTGGACAGTGGAAAATGAGACGCGGTCCAGTGAGACAGTGAAGTTTTGCGGGTTTTTGAGTTGTCGATCGGTTTACCTGGGGAACGATCGATTTCACGGGGAAACCTTGAAGGAATTTTTTATAGCTGATTAAATTTCCGACAAAAAACGTCTTCTGGTGTTTTTCGGAGAAGCTAATAGTTTTCGAGATTTATCGATTTCAATGAAAGCGTAAAATTCAAGATTTAGAGGCGACACTGGAATTTTCTATAAAATTTCTGCTTTTATCTCGGGATTTCCTCGGATTTCGAACAAACCATCGATGGAAAACACTAAAGTCACGACAATAATATTTTTTTATCACGATAAAGGTCGAATATGCGATTTAACAGAATGAGAAGAGTCAAGGCAAAGTGCAGTAGAAACCTGTGATTTACGACTCATACTCGCGGTACTGAGAATGTTGTTGATCGTTTGAGATTTGGTAATTCCCTTTCATTCAGACCTCAACAATTTTTATTAACAAACTCAGCCCCAATTTCTACATATTCAATAATAAAAACCTTTCACTCTCACTTGTTATTCCCTCGAATTCTAGGGCCTCATAGCACGCATTTTCATTTATTTGCTTTCACAAACAATTTTTCCAATTACTGCATCTTTATACTCCACGTGTATTTATCGCTTGGGATAGAACTGGTTTTCTATTGCGCTATGTGATGTGTACATTTCTTCGGGGTGACTAGAGCGGTCAGTGGATTTTTATATTTCAATCTACAATCAACAAAATAAGGAGCAATCGATGAAACAATTAAATCCGGTAATTAGGCGGTGAGTATTGAGGCGCAATTGAATGTTCAGTTTTTGCAATTGCATCCCCGATGATCCGACCAAGTTGGCGATTTTTTTTCACAATTTCTTGGGGTAATAATTGTTTTTTTAAATAATCCTACGGGAGAAAAATCCCACTGGTTAATAAAAAATGCCAATAATTAATAAAAATTGATGGTGGAACCCACTGGATTGATCTATGCAGTCTCAGATGATGTACAAGTTTCCAGAATGTTGGGCCCCACTGAAAATTGGGACTTCACGCACTCGACCGATGGAATAGGACTGAGCAAAATTTTTATCTCACTACCGATTGCTGGACACCTGTGGTACTCACACTCCAGGTATGATTGCGTTTTTTCGTGTGTTGGTCGGGCAAGTTGGCGTCGTTTATTTTACTCGTGCAATCTTTTTCCCTCACCACCTGGATACCTGGCTAGAGTCGAAGATTGGCGTATGTGATCGGTGGGGGACTTGCATTATGGCCCAAACATTGGGGAATTGTCGGGGTGGGAGCGACGATTTCTGGCTCACGTGATTCCCCAGGTTCTACCATTCATGCACGAAAAAATTATTAATTTCACCAGCTAAATATGCATTCACAAATTCCTGAGACCATTTTTTATTCCTCTCTCTTCCAAAATATTGTATTTTTTTTTTAATAAAAAGAGGAAGAGATGAAAAGGAAAATCTTCTCTTGATTTCATTTATTTATCGACTGAAATGTTTGATTTACTGTGCCTGGAATTTTTTGGTAATCTATTATTAGCCAATGGCGAGAGGATTCAGATGGAGATTAAATCGTTCCCCTGATTGGTAAATAACCGGTGATTTATCTGGTCCGGAGAGGCGCATCGGTTGCGGGGAAAGGTCACTAGATAGAAGAGATTTCAATGCTTGCATCAAATAGACAGCAAGCACGTGGTTCAAGTTAATGACGTGAATTAATTGTAGTAATTGTTAATGAAATCGTTGATGAGGATGGTGGGAGGTGGGTAAAGCCTGGTGGACTCATGAAAAAAGTAATTTTGGTCGTGACACGATGGAATGCTCAGCTCCTGAAGCAGTTCGACCTCTATTTGGTGACGCAATTTACTTTCGTGCGCAGCAACTCTGGAGGGAGCCGAGTTGCCGAGTCAAACAGGAGAGCAAGTTAAACGATTTCAACATTTCAGGATGCCAAAGCCAACTGCACACAGCAGGTACTCCACCACGATTGCACGTACCAACCTGTCCTCAACACGCCTTTGCTGTTTTCCTCTTGTTATTCAAAGATTTCTACCTGTAATCAACGATAAGGGAATCTGGAGATGATCCAGGGAATTAACAATCAACCATGGACATAGAAATTCATTTATTCTTTTATTTTAGTTTATTTTATTTTATTTATTATTTATATTCTCTCAATGATCCACAGAATAAAATTATACAGTAATTTCTCTATTTCATTTCATCTGCCGTTTGTCTCGCAATAGCAAAATTATTCCATTCATCATGCGTTGTCGAGTGTAGAATAAATTTTACCGCAATCTTCACTCGGTAAAACGAATTTAATACGAAAATTCATTTTCATCAATTTGCGCAATCTTTGTTTTTCTGCTTTCTAACTTAACGTATCTGTCCTCGAAAAACGAGGCAGTACTTCACAATGGATTTTTTTTTTATTTCGAGGCATCAATTGCGCAAAATGACTTTCCAATGGTTTTTTAAATGTCGAGGCTCTCCAGGTGATTAATTTGAATTCAGTGTAGATGGGATTCAGTCGTTGGTGGATCAGAACTCGTGGACTTCTCTCAAAGCAATTGTTGAGGTAATTGTTGTGAATTTTGAGTAGATGAGCCAGAGGATTGAGGCGATGAAGAGAAATCGAAATATCAGATCGGCGATCCAGTAGAGGAGGAAGATCCTTCGGGCCTGGGGGAGAGTCGATGGGTCTTCCTTCAGGATGTACCTGCGGGCCCCCAGGACGTAGGTCTTCATGTATTCGTTCCAGTCGTAGGCTTTCGTGTCCATATAGAAAACATTCTTATCAGCTGGTAGTAATTCATCCCTCAGCTCTTTCATTCTGTCATTCCTGGGAATCATTAATTATTCATTATTTATTCATAATAATTTATACTGAATTTACCTATAATTCAAATTTGCAATAAATTTGATTATCATTCACATGATAACGTAATGGAATAAAAAATTATATTTATTATTCAAGTCAAATAATTTATAATTAATCATCATAATTAATATAATTTTTCATCAATTTCATAATTGTTGAGGTAATTTTCGAATTTTCGTAAACAATTCTTCGAAATTGAAGTTTATATAAAAATATTCGATGGCATTGTAGTGGAATTTTTGTGTAAATGAGTTTTTTGAATTTTTTTTTCATATTTACTTGAAATCCCATTCTTTTAACGTGTAATATTGGAGGAGTTCCAGGCCCCAGCTGACCTTGTGTTGGACTCTCACCAGAAATGGTTCATGACCGGTTAAGAAACACAGGGCATCGATGAAGTAAGCTGGCAGCAGGTGAAAAAATAATACCCGAAACATGTGATAGTACTGGTTGTTTGTTATTCCTCCACGTGGATACCAAAGAATACCTGTAAATAAGAAAAATATCAATCAATACAATTATGTTATATATTAATTAATAATATTATTCAATTCTCCAATGAGTTACTCCGCAGAGAGGAGATCAGTAGGAAATAATTATTGGCAGTTTAAAATTCTTTTGAAGATGTTGAATTGAATGGATTTATTTCACCTGTGAATGGATTTTCGAATGCGTGCTTTCGTCCATATGCCAGGGATTGGCCCCAGGTGAGGGGATTTTCACCGCTTTCAGTGACATTCATGTAGATCGGGTTAACTGGTGATTCTCGGCCGACTTTCCACGCTAATGCGATTATCGCATTCACTGCGATATCACAGGGGATGGCATCCAGGAAGAGATTCTCATCGCAGAGAACACTGCGAACAACACCTTTTGCTGCTCCAATCATCAGACCAGTTGGACCATTCAGATTCTCCACCCAACCTGGCACTGGCTCTTTCCAAGAAGCCACGACTAAAGGAATTATACGACATTAGGGATCGACGAATCGTTAATTATGCAAATCATCAATTATCAAAGATTTTTACGGACGTGTTAACATAGATTAGAATGGAAGGTTCACTGGAAATTCAATAGAATAATTCACGGTTTTTCTCAAAATTTTTTTTCAATCCCTGTATTCTGGGGTAATGGATTCAAATCGCAGAGGTGAACTTGAACTAATGATCGTAGGAATAAGGCGTGAATAAATCATCAGTCTGGACAATTTTCCCGTGTCATTATTCAATAACGTTGTCATGACTAATTAATCACGCGAGGAAAATTAAATTATGTAATGACTAACCGATTGATGGCCTGGCAACGCCGGTCGGCAGATTCGATCTGTTGATCAAGTCCTCAGCTAGTGATTTGCTGAAGGCGTAGGTGTTGGGCATATCCCTGAGTAATTTTGGAGTCATCACCTCGAGCAAATCGTCATCGAGACTCTCCACGAGACTGATCACTTGCTCGGGGAGCATTGGACTCGGGTAGGGCCTGTCCTCCAGGATTTTTTCCCCGCAGTGGGTGTAGGCCGTCGATATATAAATCAAAGACTGCAGGTTGTGCATCTGGAAACAAGGGGTTCAATAATTTTTTTAATGCGACGAAAATGTATTCATCGGTCTCGTAAAAATTGCTGTTGGAATATTATAATGTGCGGGTAGGAATTACGGGGAATCCCAGACATTTGGGGCTTGCGGATCTGACCGCAGAATAAATTTATAATCGCAGGAAAGTGCGTTCATCATTTTATGCTGTCCCCGGTGAAGGACATTGGGATATTTATGGCGAACCTGTTCTCCAATCACTCAACATCTCTTCACTTTCGGCGTCGGACATATCGTCAGGGAAAAAAATTATTTCTAGGGATTTACACGCATGTATATGCTAACGATAAAAATTCGCATGTTGCCCAATAAAATCTGCAGTACTGCAATTTCGCATTTTTTTTTTCCATAAGGCTGATTTTTCTCAAGAATTTCTCTTCGTGCCCTCAATGTGTTTATGGACATGTCGTAAATATTTTTTAATCGTTAGTTGTTTTGAGCGCCTCAAGGATGGTTCAGACAATAAAATTTGTCTGCACGGAGATTTGAATTAATTTTTCAACAGGTTTTTACCGACTTTTAATTTTCCATTCATTAATTTCAGGTCATTCTAACAATTTAATTGCAATTCAATCTGGTAGGGGGAAAATTTATTTCTGTGTTGAACCGGTGGGGGAAATTTGTCAATTCGCACTTTTCAAGATTTTTTTAAGGAAAATTCGGGAACAGTTGATTATGGAAATTGTTTACCTGTTTGCACACGGCAATGAGATTTCGCACACCAGCTGTGTTCATTCTGATAGCATCCTTCAATGGCACATCGAATTTGACATTAGCTGCGCTATGAAAGACCACCGATACATCTCGCACCAAGAGCTCACGATTTTCTGGTGATAAACTGAGATTTTCCATCGCTACATCTCCAGAGATCACCATCACTTTCTTCAATACCTCTGGATGCGTCGTCTGCAGGTCCCTGAACGGCTCATTCTGCGAATGTTTACAATTAATAATGAATCAGGTAAAAATTCAGAGATCGCTGACTCATCGATGTAAAAATGCTTTTCGGTCACTTGAATTCCGTCAAAAATGTTTACCCAACGATGAAATATATTAAACATATTCAAAACAGTCCCATATTCATTCATTAGTTCCCGCATAAATTAATCCCTAAATTTAATCGCACGTGAATCATTCAATTGTAATAAAAAAATTCCACAATTGAGAGAAAAATCCCCCAAGTGGTTTAAATAATTTCGATGAGTGAATGTAAATTTAAGGAGTAGAAATCACATCCCCATTAATTATCATCGCAATATTTCGCAATCAAGGGACTATTAAAACAAGAAATAATTTTCCTTATTAATATTCCCATCTCTGACGCTTCCGATCGTCTCGTCATCGTTAATTGATGAAAAATGTGATTCCTGGGAATGAATTATCAGAGAATAAACGGTAAATGAAAAAAAAAATCGAGTCATTCTTATAGAGTCATTCAAAATCATAGCCATTCTCATAAAAATGACAAGCAGGAGAACGATTCAGTGTTCATTGTTCTCCTTAATGGATTCATTATAGTTGTCGGTCATTATAATTAATGTTAAAATATTGAGAAACATACGTGGCGAAATTAAAATTTCAAATGCATGCAGGTAGATTCAATGCATTTTTCAATTCGTGATGAAGGGTAATTGTTTCACTCGGCACAGGTGGTTTTCCCCTGAATAATTCTAACGGTGATGTTGACTAATTGGTCTGGACGATGGATATCTCATGGTCGAACAAGTTTTCGACTAAATCATATATTTTTTCACCTGTCCTTGAGAGGTGACAGGGTCAATGGGCCCTAGAGGTCTCAAGGTTATTTTTTCAAGTACCAATGATCGAATCCTGCTAACGGATTTCACGATTTGATTACGTCGTCCAGACGTTTTAAATCAGTCGAAGACCTTGCACTCGAGATAATCATCACTTTTGCTTCGGCCGTTTTCATTTTTTACTACCTCTCTCACTCGCAAATTCCTTTTCCACATTTTTTTATGAGAAATTACCGAGGAATTACCGAAATTAAAGTTGTGAAACTCTCATGGAACTCAGAAAAACGAAAGGGAATTTTCTACTCTTCTTTCCATTTATTTATTATTTCATTTAATGAATAAATAATTGTAAATAATCAGTAATAGATAATATTGAAATGAAAATGACAATTCAGTAAATCGTTTTCCCTGTATCGATTTTGAGTTGACCCATTTCTTACGTATCGATCCGTAGATTTGTTTTACGTAATAATTTCCCAATAATTCGGCCCTGTCTCTGTAATAAATAGAAACAACAACCATGACCGAATAAAAGTAATATGGGGAAATCGATGGATTTTCTCTTGAAAATACGGAAAAATTGTTATTTCCCGATGGATTTTATCGCATGTGTCCCACTTGGGCCCTCAACGCTCCACTGATGCTCCTAACATTCTAATACCCGTCACTTTCTTTTTTCCAATTTCCCATTTCAAAATTTTGAGAAAATCCAATAGCTCACCTGAATCAGTGAAAACAGCCTACTCTGTGGATCGACACCTTTCTTCTCTCGCACCAGAATATAAATTTTTCCCACATCCGGACAGCTTTTTAACAGTTTCGCAAGCAAAACTTTACCCATAAATCCAGTTGCTCCAGTAATCAAAACATTTCGATTTCTGAACCACTCGGGTATTGTTACCTCTTGTGGAATGTCATTATCTATTCGAGCCGTGTCTTTCTCTGTGAATCAGAAATCAAATAAATTCCAAAATAATCATTATACAGATAAGGATGGAAAGTCGACTCGAGTAATCACCAAATTTTCCATGAACACCGCAGCATCTAATTGGTTTAAATAAAAAAAAAACAATAAATCAAATAAACAATTTACCCTTAAGCTCGCTGGAAAAATCTTGCGTCGACTTCATGACGTGCGATGAAACCCCGAAGAATGAGAATTCAATGGAAAATCGTCAGACTGAAGAGATCAGATAAAATTCAACAGCTAAACCACTTATGAAGTACTTGCTCAATTGCAAATGCTAATAAACCATGATAACTCCTGATGAATATCAGAAAATCAACCGAACACCCAATCCTCCCGCAACGTGAAAAAAATGTGCGTTTAGGTCGCTCACACTTCGGTGGATGGTTCTCGATGAACTGATTGGCGAGTGACTGTGCGTTCACTGACAAGCAGAAAGGTTCACCAACGCCATTCCTTCCTCCCCCAGCACTACAATTTTGATAGGAAACTAATGAGCTCCCAGAACGGTCTTTCCATCATTCATTAAACGAAATCGAAACGCCTCCTGTCCATTACTACAATCAGAGATGAATCCAATCAGATTCAATAACCAAGGACACCTAGGGTAACAAAGAACTGCGTGTACCAATGTACCGTTTTATTTTTTTTTTTCATCAATTTTCCGTTTTTTCATCTCCAGTCATTTCACATAATTGGAATCTTCTCGTTAATGAGGAATTAGCATATTCACGGTACTAGGATAATGAATGCAATTTCCGGAATTACCGGGAGATGAGACAGAGTAGTGGAATAAAAGTTTTGATATAAAAATCGTAACTGTGCGATAATCTGAGAATTGCATAATATGAATTCATCCGTAATCCGTCATTTACCCAGTTGCCCAATATTTATCGTAATATTTATGTTCATATGAGGCAATGAGGAATGGATCGATGAATCGGTGCAGACCGAATGATTTTTGTGGGAAATCATCAGGAAATCATCAGCCAATTGGTAAAGTTTTATAATTCCAATTTTTTATTCGTTTTACTTTGGAATCCCCAGAACAGAATAATAAATTCACGGAACTACTAAAGATATTTGAACATTTTCACTGTAGATCGATAGTTGTCTGGATGAGTGGATAAATAAAAGAGTTAAATTATATCACTTCATCACTTGGCTAATTGAATATTTTGTAAATGGCGATGCCTCGATGACAATATATTAAATATTTGAATTGAGAATGAGATTTAGAGTTGACTGAAGAGAAGATAGACTATGGGGACGATCATGCCAGTTGATGTCCAGGTAGCTCCCAGGATGGACTTGAAAATCCACCAGACGAGACCCAGAAGAGCTGCCTGAAGTCCCAGATGAGCCACCAGTAGTCTAAAATTAATTTATCATTTCGTTTAATTATCGTTTAATGATTGATTATGAGTTGATGGAGCCACCACTACTCACACGTTGTCCTTTGAACGGGCTCTTCCCAGGGTCTTCAGGGGCTCCTTACTCAGGTACACCCTGACACCTTTCGTCAGGTTCACGAAGTAGTCCTCCCACGATAGCGATCTCACGTCGAGATTGAACAGCTTCTTCTCTTCACTGGATAACGACTCGTGCAACTCCATCATTCTTGGGTTTTGAAATTTCCACTCGGTGAAAATAAATCTCTCGAGACGACCCAACGAGTTGTTGACATTTGTGTGCAGTCGGACCAGTCTTGAATCAATTATCAAATTAATTTTTATGAGCTAAATTCGATGCAATTCAATCAAAAAAAAAATAAATTCGTCATAACTCTCATATTCATTTATATGAGCTGAGGGAAATACGTACATGGGTCGTCCTCCAGCGATTTTCGTGACAGTATCAAGTACATAAGCTGGAATCATGTGAACAAAAATGGAGGAGATTCGATAGAGCCACAACGAGGGCACCAGTTTCAGATGGGGATACCAGACAGCACTAGCCAACGGATACTTGTGGAGATATCCATTTATTTTCGACTCAACCTTCACCCACTGGAATGGATTGCACGTACTCGAGGTGCAGTGGTAGACCTTTATTCCAGTGTTCCTGGATAAAAAATGGAAAATTATACTGGAGAAGTGAGAGGTCAGTGGAGAAAGGAAAGGATGTCTACTTGTCACGTCCAATGACGTAGGCAGCAACGATCAGGGCATTGACGACGGTATCCACTGGGATGTAATCGTAGATAAGTTCACTTGCAACAGGTAGTCTGCGAACTACTCCCTTGCTGGCACCCATTAGAAAACCCTGGGGACCGTTTTTGGAAGTCGTCCATCCGGGGATGGGCTCCTGCCAGGCTCCAGTAACTGTGAACAATATTTTCTATCCCAGTCTTTTTTCTCACAGTTGATTTATTATTTTTATAACTTTATAATTATCCTAATGATAATTATTCTCATTTCATTGGTATCTCAACTATTGAACGTACTCATAGAGGGCCTGACGATGGCCGCAGGGATGGACCCATTGACGACCTCGTGTTCAGCGAGATGTTTAGAGAAAGTGTAAGCATTTGGATGATTTTTCAATAGCTTGGGAGTCTCTCTGTCAATAATTTTCTCATCCTTTTCCCCAACAAGTGCAAGGACTTCATCGACATCAGCTGGTGGTGGATAAATCTGCTCTTTAGTCTCCAGAAGGAAGGAATTCACGTAGGCACTCGAAACGTGCACAAGTGCCTGAAAAGAACTCATACCGTAAATCATAATCCCGCTATTAAATACAACGAGAAAATCAAATAACGAAAATGAGGCAGATGTGAATAATAATAGAGGCTGGTTCACCTTGAGATTTCTAATTTCTTGAGCAAGCTGAACGACTCTTCGTGTACCAAGGAGATTAATATCAACAGCGGACTTCAAACCCGCTTCAAAGTCCAGTGTTGCTGCCGAATGGAATATGACTTCGACATGTTCGACAATTGTCAATCTCTCCTCGGAGGACAGTCCCAAGTTCTCATCACCGACATCACCACTCACTCCTATTAATTTCGAGAATAAATCTGTCTTCCCTTCTTCCCTCAGGCGATCAAACACCTGTGAATAACATCGTCAACATCAATTATTAATCACTCAAAGCGCGAGTGAGATATCTCCACAATTTAACATCACAGCGAAATAAATTCTCGAATTACCTCACACCTAGAGACATATTTCTAGAGATTGAAAAGACTCCTGACTCGTTCTCATAGGATCAGTTAAAGGAGATTTATGAATTATTTAAGAACAATTTTGAGAGAAATAATTTGAGGAAACTATTTATTTGTTTTATTTTATAGTGGACAATTAATTTTTGTGTTGGATTGAATGATTCTAACAGGGGAACAATTGAACGAACCTGAGGCCTCGATTAACCTCACAAATAACTCCATTTGACGAAAAACCCTAACCTAATCAGTGAATTGATTAAAATAAACGAGTGATTACCGAGTTTTTGGTGAGTTCCTCGAGACGCTCGGTGATTTCCTTCCCCTTCTTCGGTCTGATGAGTAAATAAATATTCTTGACATCCGGACAACACCTGAGGAGTTTCTCGATCAGGCAACTGCCGAGGAAGCCGGTGCCCCCGGTGATAAAAATGCATTTCCCGCGATAATAATCGACCACTCGTGATGCCATCGTATGCACTGGGATTAATTAGATTTGGCAATTGGATGAGGGGATTTATTTCTAAAAAATTGGAGAATTGAATGAATGGACCACAACAAAATGGAATGGAACAGAAGACTGTTCTTGGTTCTAGTCACTAGAACTGACGGAAACCAACTGAAACAAATACAACTGAGTCCTCAACGTTATGCCACATGCTAGGAGATAGGAGTGGAATTCCAAACGAGAGAGAAGCATTCGAGAATTCTCCCCTGTCAGACGAAGATGAATTCAGTGTCGATGAGCCGCTAGTTCTCCAGGGGTTCTCAATTTTCAATTGTTATTTGTTTTTTCCTGCAGCTGTCAAAAATAATTTTTTTGACAATAATTTCAATTTTTTAAATCGCTTTTCTCTGACTCAAGTCAATGTTATTATGTTATTATTTTATTTATTTATTAAATGATCAGGGATAGATTTTATGGAGTAGATGATTCAAGTTCATGATACGGTGAAGGTAATTATTTATTAATCAGAAATAACTAAAAATTGTTGATAAAATCAGACGCATGGATAATTACAACCAAATGAAGAACAGGACGATTGTTGCACTGAAAATAGATGCGATGCTCCAGGAAATTCCTATATTCATCATGGCATACGTCAAGAGTGCGAATATAAAAAACGGTGTGAGTTCAGCGGTTATTTTCAATCTGCAAAACAAAATGAAAAAAATACACGAACTAGTAATTTTACGTGGCTATCAATACTGCATGTTATTTATCTTTCCATTTTTGCTGGAAAAATAGTGGAAGCAACTTTCTACAGGAACGTTCACCCTGAGATCAACAGCCTCTCATCTCGCTATTTGAATTCTATGATATTGTAAATTTACCGTTTCATCTGCTGACGGGCGCGTTCAGTCGTCGCAGATGATTCCTTGTGGAAATATCTCCTGGTGCCCACGACGCATATCTCGAAGTACTTCCTCCAGTTGATGAGACGGGGATCCATGGGGTGGACCTCCCTCTCATCCGGAGCAAGTGCGTCCTGAAGGACTTGGGTGTTACGTCGATCGAATTTCCACTGGTGAGTGGAGAAAAATGAAGTGTAGGAATTTCCCTTCAGGTATCTCCGCTGGACTTGATAAATCCTGAGGAATCAAAATTCAGTCATGATATTATCCAATCGCCATTTAAAGTCCCCATTAATTTTTTATCGTGTCATTTTAACGGGAATTATACAAATAATTAACTAATGATAATTAACTGGGTCATAGGTGCTGTAGTCACAAGTACTTACTTCAATTTTTGTCGATTTCTACATTTATACAGAATCAAAACAAAAATACTTAAATCGTAATAAATGAGACAAGAGTTTTTTAAATGGACGGAGTTTTCTGTATAACAAAAAAAAAACGATTACAAAGAGTAAACGTATTGAATGTAAACATGTAGATGAGGATCCCGAGAATCATTAGTCGAACGCAAATCGTCGAGTTGAAGTCCATCAGCAAATAATATTCATGTCAGACGTTACGAAATCTAGAAATCGGTCAATGTCAAGCTGTTTGTATCGAAAGGCCGAGAAAAGTCTTACAATTCGCTCTTGTCGAAGTTCCAGATAGGAGAAATGGAGTTGATTATGAATGCCGGGATTATCTGAAAGACGTAGAGGACCAGAAGATTCCTCAGGTAATTTTTTCTGATTCTGGCTTTTGGATACCACAGGAGATTTTCGCAGGGATGCTCTCGACAGGCTCTCACCACTTCTTCACAATATTCGTCCCAGGTGGTGGGATTTATGGTGTTGGAGGTGCAGTGGAAGATGTGGAGGTTCTCGGGATCCTGGTGGGCTCTCTCTGCTGCTGCAAGAATCGTCGATACCACCATGTCCACAGGGATTACATCCAACAGAGTATTCGGGGTTGCCTGGAATCTAATTAATAAATCGTCATTGCCATTAGATTTTTTTATGACAATTCGAGAGGAATACTAAACTCGACTTCTCTCGATTTCTCCATCAAAATCCTTTCATGATCCTTTCATATATCTCTCAACTTCAATTATTTTCACCAAGAAAAGAATATAAAATAAAAAATTCTCGAGTACAATAAACATTTCGATTTTCACAAGAAGTTATTATTTTAGGCTTTTAATTATTTATATGAAGCAGAGCGATGTCGATCGAGGAGAAATGAGAGATCTGTCAATTGAAATTTAAAAGCTCGAGTGTGCTGTGTGAGCTCCGGTGGCAATTGACTCTCGATTTTAATTAGTCGAGTGGATTTAAATGAGGATTGTACAGACGTGCGGAATAATCCCTTGGCAATACCGGCGATGAAGCCACAGGCTCCACTGTTGACGTTATCCACCCAACCAACAGTCGGTTGGCTCCAGCTATTCAACACGATACTCGGTCTTATGATGGAAAGTGGTACGTTTCCACGTTCCATTGCTAGAAGATTCTCCGCCATTTGTTTAGTAAAAGTGTACGTATTCACGTGATTGCCGAGTATTTCCTCAGTTTTATGGTTTATCTCCTCGCAGCTCATGCGTTCCATCTGAAAAAAAAATATGTCTCTCAAATTGATGGAAAATTTGCCCAGAAATGTCTCAGGACTTTCGTTAAAATTTTATTCAGTCCCGAGAATTTTTCTCATCATAGCGATGACGATCATTCGATCACGCACGATGACTCAACGATACTCTTCCCTCACCATGTCAATAAAGGATGACGGCTCCATCGATGACGGGTAAAGTCTCTCCTGGAGTACCTCATCGCTGTTTCTAGTGCAATTAGCGTATGCCGTTGAGACATGCACCATAGCCCGAAGTTTTGGCATGCGCTTGGTCAGTCCCAGGAGATGACGCGTACTGAGTAAATTAATGCGTACCGCGGAATTGAGATGAGCTGCAAAAGATATGAATGCCGCGGAGTGGAATACGTGGGTGCATTCGGACAAAAGAATTTGCCGATCGCCATCGGACAGCCCGAGATTTCCAGCTGTCAAGTCACAGGGAATGACTTTCACCTTCCGCAGGGCCTCGGGTTTCAGTCTCACGAATAGCTTAAACAATCAGAAGAATATATTGCCGGTACAACGTGTGTGGATTTGAACCTAGAATGAGACTTACAGGTGACGCAAGGATTTTATCAATCCGCGCCTTGGGACTGATCCCCTCGCGTTTCCGGACCAAGACGTAAACGCAGTTGGGTCCAGGATCGAGCTCCAAGATCCTCTCCAGGAGCGATCCCCCGATGAATCCAGTGGCCCCCGTCAACAGAACTGTCCCCCCGCACAATGACCGATTAATCGAGTACTTTCTCATTGCTCTTCCGTCACCAACTAAAGTCCAGAACGTTCCTCACCCGCTCCCCAGATCGCCAATATCGCTGAAATCCCGCCAACTCGGCAAATTCCATCACCCGAATTATTTAGTAACTCGTACGATTGACCCCAATCCTTCGACGAGTTTATTATTGAGTTATTGAAATTCCACGTGGCCAGAAATGACCAGTGGACCCATACCCCATCGGCCAAAGTCGATGGCTCATTGTTGTCACATTAATTAATTATTCGCGTCATTATTCACTTGTTATGAATTCCGAAGAATCCTCTGACGCAAAAGATCACTCTGAATGCTGATATATGCGACTTTCATCTGCCATAAACTAATAAAAAGTTTTTTCCATAATTTTTTGCGTACAACTGAAATATCCTAAATCCACTCGACTTTAGCCTTCTGTGTGTTGGACTTTGGAAAAATTTTTTTATGTGAGGATTTACAAGATTCACGAATTCCGAGATTAAAAAGAAATATTCTACTAAAATCAACATTTATTAATTCCTCTCTTAGAATCTGTTATTTGTTTCAGTGGGTTATCTCCACTTTATTGAATAATGAAATGAAATTAAACATCCCCCACTTCCAGCAGCTCATATATATTATTTATTCAATAAATTTATTAAATAAAGAATTGTCCCCGATATCTTCTCATTTTTCATGGTTTTTTATAAATGTCTGGAAACCTGTGGATCGATTAAATCTCGACTCAAAATTGCCGTCTCCTTTTAATAATTAATAATAACAATAATAATAATAATAATTTGATTTTAATCCTTCTTAAACTATAATATAAATAAAAAAGGAAGAAGGGCGAAGGGGCAATCTGTTGAAATTGAAAATAAGCGGGCTCACCCCTTAACCAACTTCGTGCGCGCTCGGTTGTACTCGTGGCGCCCCGAACCGTAAAGCCCAACGGCGAAGCTGACCGAGAAAAAACGAAGTGTAAATGGGCGCGAGCTTAACCAACCCCCCGTGATAGGGCGGCGGGTTGAAATTTAGTGAAATTCTGGTAACTTTTCTCGCTCATGTGTTAACTCTCCTGGTAATATACTTGGCAGTTGCCCCAAGATGGCGGACTCGGTTGGCGTGAGACGGGAAGATATCGAAAAGTGTGAAATCCGGGAAAAGTGTGAGTTATTGTGTTAAAGTTGTCACCAAACAACCATCAACAATCGTTGAAACAATCGTTGATCATCAATCAGCTGATTTATCCCGGATCAATTCGACGGATCAGTCAATTTCGGTGAGTTATCTTGAATCACCCTCAGCCCGAGGGGGGAGGTGGGATACCTGAGAAAAAGTCTCTCGAGCCGCGCCTAAGTACCCGATGAAGACAAATTATTTCATCCACACCCATCGCATCTCCAATTGGAACAACTGCCAGAGGCTCAATTGGGCGATTCTCCCTCATCATTCCTCTTCATCGGTCCCTCATCGGTTTCTCCACCAAGGGGTGGCTGAACCCACCGGATAATCCGGGGAAACTTAATAAATCGGAATAGAACAGTGATCGTCACGATGAATTCATTATCTCGTTGATACTGTCGTTGTCGAGGTTTCCTCGTTACACCAGGGTAACTCATCTCCAATTGGTTTTTCCGGGTTTACCACTGGAAGAGCTCCAGGAGCTTTTTCACCCCCGAGACATCACGCGACCGGCGACAGCCGAGGAATCTCGACCCCGACCGATTCAATTTTCTCTCCCTCTCGTCGTTGAATTCCGCTGGATTCGTTAACACGGGATTTCGCCCATTGACTGGAGACCTGGAGTCAATGGAGGAAATTGTCTTCGGGGTTTGGAGTCTCTAGCCTCTGGAGAATTTTTTAAATGGATCTGGGGGTTGATTTTTCAATAATCTCTTCCTCAGAAAAATATTAATTAAAATAGGTCAGTTCGATTTCATTTAAATTTAGGCTTTAAATAAAATTGTTATTGTAGTTTTTTCGGATAAATCGAGGGGAGGCTGGGGAGATGGGATTTGGAGATTTTTAATATTTATATATTTTTTGATATATACTTTTTTTTATGGCATGCAATTGCACCACCGCCCAATGCGGATGTTCTACCGCCCCTCGACTCAAGACACGTTTTGTGATTCAATAATTTTGCGAGAGCTCGTGTTAACCCATTGAAACTCGTTTGAGGCGGTTGGAATGCTCGGTTTGGGGGTAATTAATGGGGGAGGGTAATGGTGATAGGGGGACTCCGTTGAAACTGTAATCAGGGCAACTTCTGGGCAGTCAATATTGCTTATTGTCTCGTGCACTCCAGATCCGAGTGGATGTTCTCCTGTTCTAGATTCTTACTCGCTTGGAAAATTGACGAGCAGGGAGAAAAAAATATTGTGTATTCAAATTCGAAGGGCAAAGCGAAATAATTGTATTCTTTTATCGATCATTAATAATCGATTAATTTTGGAAAATCATTTTGAGGGGAAATAACACGATTTTTTTTGAGTTAATTAAATTCAAAGTTTAATTTGGACTATTAGTTTGTGAGAGCAGTTTTCCAGAAGGAATTAACATTCGAGTTATTTAATTCTTATCATTTTGGTTGCTTTGATAGCTACCGGCCATTAAAAATTCTAGTGCTGCTCCAGAAAATTTATGATTGTTGCAATGAAATTTATAGGTCTTTGTTGTATTCTTGGGAGTTATCCGAGAGTTTGATATCGATACGAAAAAATTCAGGCGGGGAGAATTTTTCTAAAGGTTGACGAATTTCAGAAATGAATTTGGGAATTAATCTGCCTGAGATTTCATTGAGCCAAGTGATTTTTCATTTCAGGGCACTAGTTTTTTCCACTGAATATTGATTTCGCGGTTGAAGGCCAAACAGACCGAGCAATTTTGATTCTCCACGAGAGATGTGATAAGAATTGTTATCACCAGTTTGCGTGAAACTTCACTATCGAAAATGAAGAGTGCTCGAGCTGATACGGAATATTATAGAGCTCGACATATTTTGGTATCAGATCCAGAACTTGAGAGCACCTCCATGCGAAAATCACTGGCGAAATGGTGAACTCAATCATTATTATATTAACCACCAATTTATCCCGAATCCATCGACTCTAGAAAAAAATCTCAAAAGACTTTATCCATCAAAAATTTAATCAGCTAAAAAAAAGTCATCAACCACTTCCGCCGCGAAACGATAGTTTTCGAGATAAATCAATAATAAATGTTGAAGAATTTCCTGGAAAAACTGGACTCTTCCGGTTTTCAGAATTCCTCCACAGAATTCTGTGGACACATGGGAATTCCGAAATCTTCTGTAAATTCCAGGTTTTATCTGAGATGTTCTATCATTTACGGACTGTTTCACCATTGGTCTGATTAGAATTTTAAAATATGGAATTTATAAGAAGAAGCCATTCGTATTCTTTCGGTGATTATACGATATCCCATGTGTTGCGCAAGCGTGATACATCGCTCCATGAATTATCGCTAGTTTCATATTTATCCGCTAACAAGTTGTGTTGAACAATACAGGTGTACATGACGAGATGTACTTGTAATATTGAAAACATCGATAGCTTTAATAATTAGAGCACTGCTCGTTACTTCCTACTGTCACTTATGCACCATATTACTGCAGTGCTAATGATTAATTGTTGACAATTAAAGGTCAATTTTTTTTCGAGAATTCGTCATATCTGTTGTTAACTCCATTCTTCAATCTAAGGTTTTTACGCAGTCAATAAAATTGTAATTTCATGGCCAATTCACTGAAAATTATCAAAAGGAATCCATCTGTCAGGAAAGAAAGGGCAATGAATAGAATTTTTGGACGAATATCTCTCAGCCTGAGAGAGCCACAGAAAATTCTGTAGAACATTTTTTCTAGAGCTAATTGAAAGCTACGAAAAAAGTTATTATACAAATTTCGCTATCTCTGTTAGATTATGAGATAATCCTCTTCGTTGGTCAATTAGATTTTGGAGGATGAATTTTGATTGATTGTGGGGAATATTAATGTGTAATAATAATATTAATTAATATATAATTCTCGGAAATTTTTCGGGAGTCCACGGTGAAGTGTGGGATAATTGGAGGACAATTTACGGTTTTAAATGATTTTTTGATAACAGTTTGAACTTTTTAATTGCGAAATCCTTTCGGATTTCCAAGAAGTGTACCGTAAATTTCATCGAAAACGTAATGGTATATTTGAAAGATATTTATCTCCATATTCATAAATTATGTTGGAGATCGACGTAAATTGGAGAAATAACTAATGACTTGGATTAGGGGGCCAAGGAAACGGTGTCTCAATATCTCAGATTCATTACGTCAAGACTCTGAAAGCCTGCCACATTTGGCGAAACGTCACAATCCCACCATCATCTCATTCATTAGTCTCAACATTTGTTGTCATTTCATGCACGTGTTGTTTTCGTTTTTCGTGAAATTCTCCAAAAATTCGTGTGCGTCCGATGGAAATTCCAACTTCAAATTTTAGACTCTCAATCAAAACAAATTCTGTTTGAATGGAGAAGGACATCCTTTCTCTTCTTTCGATGGGTTGAATAATATTTGGGAATTACTTATTACGAAAATAATTCCGTAACGGCCATTCACCGGATGAGAGAATTCTTATACTCAATAGAAATATCGAATTCAATATTTAGAAAAATTTGGGAATTCAATAATTTCAAGTCAAAACGGAATATCAGAGATTGAAGCGAATTATTCACAGATTGTCTGTGGCGATGTATAAATGGGGAATGGGGAATCATTATAAGAATGTTGATTATTGCTAATTATTTGATTATGAGAATTGATTTTATTCGCAATAAAAATGATTTGTCATCTCGTGATCCCACGCTGTTCTCCGGTTTATCTCGGAAACAAATTATTTCAACAGATGTTGATATAATTAAACCGAGACAAATCTCAATGGGGAGTTGATTAAAAATACTGCGATAATTGCGTCTTTTTCTTCCGTAAATTGTCGATTATCTCGGTAAATAGTGATTATAGAGAGGATGTTTATATTTCGTTTGTTTTTCATTTTGAAACCTCTTGATCGACGCACTCTAATGATGATGATAATATAATTAATCAAGATTTAATCAAGCAAGTTGTTATGTTCCACTTGGTCGAGTCGGTACAAAATAGTCATTAGAAGAATGTATCCAAAACAATTTATGATTTTATTGATTCGCGATCATTCTTTTTTAATTAATCATTTTCTTAAAACAAAATTCACTTGAAATTCCTGTGACTCGAATTTTGTAGTTTTGACTCTGGAAATGATCTCAAAAATAATTGATTTGGAAAAAATACCAGAAATTCTTTTTTTTATTTGTTAGTAAAATTTGAGAAATTTAATTTATTCCTGTGAATTGAAAATGGTATAAATTAAAAATTTTTTCATTAAAAAATTCAAGTAATTGGAATAATCAATGTGTGGACGCCTAGAAGAAGTCAGGACTACTTTTTGTCAGTTCATACTGATTCGCATGAAAATTAAAATCGCTTGCCGATGCATTGGAAAATGAGTACAAAAGTCCCACACAGATAAAAACTAGTAAATTTACCATTTTGATGCTTTCTTTAAAAAAATGATTGTTTTATAAATTCACTTCCTGAATAAGTACGAACATTAATTTATTATACAGCATCAATGTTGTTAATAAATCGGTACTAATTCCCATTTGTATATAATTTCAATCGAATATTTCACACTAGATTTAAAAAGTTCAAGGACAGAAAAGAAAGTAAATGAAAAAAATGACATTTCATTATCCGATTGACTAAAAACTTCTGCATAATTTTATTTATGACCGATTTTTCAATTTCTTTATTAATCAGGGTATTGACCTGCGAGTCGGTGCAATAATTATTGTTTATTGTGTGTTTAAAAAAATAATGAAGAATATATTTGATGAGTGCAAGAGTCGATTGACGTGTAGGTGGATGGGGGAAAAGAGGGGGCACCGGTTTCTCGGATGATATAAGGGTCCGGTATGGGGCCCAGAACACGCAGTCACCTCTTCGTATCGGCGGTGTGTGCACAAGCGATTCCTGACACTCAACTATAATCGATATTGTGAATTAACAGTGATTACGCTGAGGATACAATACCCGAGGTAAAAATTCACGATTAATCCCCGAGGGTGTACTGGAGCATTAATCATCGGTTGTGGAATCCATCGGCAATTTCTTCAATTGGGAAATATTAAAATCGGAGTGAATTGTGAGTGAAGAAATAGCAATCGGACTTTTTGTGATTTTTTATTGATTGACTCGTCGGATTATTGATTTTTTTAGGTTTAGATTTTAATTTGAAAATCGACGTCGGCATCGCTATTACAAGCGCGCGAAAGTTGCGAACGGGTTGAATTCAGTCCGAGTAGCGGTATCACCAGTCCCATTTTCCTTTTTCATAACTGTCGGTGGACGCTGTTAAAATATTGATTGGAGGAATTTTTTTCACCACAATTACTCCATTCCCGTTGAATTTTTCCATCATTTTTTTGTAACCCCGTGAAAAACGGGAAAAACTGAAAATCCTATTTGATGATTCAAGAAAGCTGATTATATCCTGAGAAGTCACTGATAACAGATAAAAATTCTATTCTCAAAGTCTTAAACCAAATTATCAATTTCGAGGTAATAATTCCACGAGAATTACCACAGAGCGAAAGATTTTGAAAAATAATAAACTTTTTCTTTAATTTTCATAATTTTTGGAGAATTGAGTCAGAATTATTGCAGACTCCTGCTGTATTCGGAAGAATGACAATTAAAATGTCGTTTTTTCTTGGAGTACACGGGACTACTGAGTGATTAGCATAAAAAAATGATAGTTTGTATTGGATTTTGATAAAAAATCATCACGAGTAAATGTTATCAGTAAAAAATGAGACGTTGAATATTTATTTGATAATGCGACAGTTGGTTGTAGAATGGCCGGTAGCTAATTAGCCAATCTTTTCCTCGAGTGTCTCAAGTGTGGGACAATTTACATAGCAATTATTTGAAATCGTGCAAGTAATTCTGGAATGACGACGTCATCGCGGTGGAGGCGCGAATTGTCTGGAACAGTGGTACATTATAAATAGCCGTTGACATGAGCTGGATGGTATGACTTTTTCGACGTAATGCAGGGGATAAATTGAATCATGATCTGGGTTCGTTGACACGACCGTGATATTGGAGACCGGCATTGAGTCGTTTTCTCGAGGCCATTCGAGGCTTTTTCAATAACATTGGCCACTTTCCCGTCTAGTGCATTCCAAATGCCGGGGCTGGTGCTGAATCATTGGGCTTGGTTTACTTCCTAGATGATCGATTTTCACTGGGACCTATTGCACAAGCTATTCCCATCAATCCAAAACGCTCAATAGATTTTTTATAACAATTCACATGTCAAATCCAATCGTTCCAAAAATCCGAGTTAATAAATAAATAATGTTAATGAATAAATCGAGGATTAAACTGGAGCCACTATTGAATTATTTAAAAATTCACCCAAATAATTAAACAATAGTAATTAATGTCCAGTTCAGCTAATAAAATTCGTGTCAACTTTGGAGATTCGATTAGAATAAAACGAAGTTAATTCCCATGTGATATAATTAATAAATAATGTGATAATCTGATTGGTTTGGAAATATTCGGAGGTAATTTTGGTGTTGAATTCGAGTAAAATTCACGGTGAGATAAGAAAGTAGGTCGTGCTATTGCCGAGAGCCTTGCCAATGTGTAGAAAAATCCAGGCACAACGAAGAAATCGAAAAAATATCCCTCATGACTATTTTCCCGATTACCCACCCACAATTTTCCCCATATATTCTCTTTTTTCGCGAGGATGGATTGGGAAATGAGTGACCTATTGGCACACTTGCACCTATCATGTGCATTATTGCCATTCGGTACAGCATTGAAACTGGTATTCTTGTTTTCCCGTGTCATCCACATGTCTATAATCATTTTGTTGGGTTTACCGGAAACGAGCTGAAACCGGTATTGCCGACATCTCGGAGTCCCAATGATCCAGTGAATGACCGGTCGCACCATCAGACCCACAACTCGTTAATTCTAACGTGAACTAATGTATAGAATCGGAGCCAAGAAAACTTTTCCGAAGGGGAATTCATTTTCAACCAGCTCGATAACCAGAGAGAAAACTCATTTCCATTTCAGTCCACCTTCGAATCACTGTTTATTACAATTTCAATTTTTCCTTCGACTCAGGGCCAATCATTTCTCCCTTTCGAAAAATTCACTTCATTGAGCAATTCGTTAAATTTATTGGGCAATTCTCGTTGGGTAATATCAGGGCAATAAAGTAGACACACATACTTTGCATCACAATTTTTATTTATTTTTCCCCCTAAAACAAGTAGCAAAACTAGTCTATACCACATAATAATTCGAAATAATCCATTTTTCCGAATATCTCCGAAACCACGGGAGATATCGAATTTATCATAATGAATTCGTTTGTAGCTTTCAATGAGTTCTAAAAAAAAAGTCATTACAAAAATTTGATGATCTCCCTTCGTTCCAGAGATATTTCCAAAAAAAAAAATTCAAAATATCCGCAGACCTGTTTTTCTCTTCCCGCTACAAAAATAAATGCAAGTACAATAAAAATTCATGAAGTACTGGATGACCCTCATGAGTAAGTCTTCCCAATACAAATATTCTCTCGCATAATTCTCGTTGACTATTGTATAGAACAATGAGAATTAATTAGAGGATCTCGAAGTGCACGCAAGGTCGCACTTGCACGCACTAGCTCATTGAGTCCTGGGAAAAAAAAAAACTTATCAGCATAAATGATGCGTCAACTCCATGAACGCATAAGCGGTGGAGCGATAGAATAACGGGTTTTGCCGTTAACGGGGTCGGTGTCTTCGTTATCCCCCTTTTTTTTTTCCTACACTCTGGGATTCTCGTAGGGTTTGGCTGGTGTATTTGGGTGACGCCTGGCCGGTGACCTGGAATCCCCAGAAGAATCCGCTTCCCGTGTGCTCCATCACCTTTTTTTTTCCTCTCGAGATGTGTAATGTACATGCAGATGTGTGATGTGGGGACTGTCATCCTCTGGACCAGTGAATGAGATGGAAACGTGCGCCTGCGTCAAGGACAACTCGTCTCTCTGGGTCTCTTTTATGAGACACTCCATTTCCCTCGGTCCATTCTCCAACACCGGAAGTGGGGTGTATCCAGGTTAAGGTTGCCCATGATTTTGATGACAAACGAACATCAACTCGTTGTTTTTTTTTTCTCATTTTTACTTTCGGAAGGCTCCGGCATCTTTTGTAAATTACGGTTTCCAGTTGGAGTATCGATCATCTCCGGGGAGTGAATTCCGCAATTTGGCAGTCGTCAGTCTGTGGGAGAAGCAATTGTAGGATAATTTATTAAACTTGTGGTTATTTATGGTTTGTAATCGGATAATGTAATTGGGTTGAGATTTTTAACCTGACGTTGGAATTGAAGACACGATTAATCGGGGAATATCTTTGAATCTAAAAAAGATACAGTAATTTTAGTGACTATCTTTTTTGTAGCTCTCATTTCGCCCTGCAAAAGAGGATATGATAAAAATTTCGCTATCTTTATCCCATTCACCGAAAATTCAATCAGCAATTCAGGAATCACTAGTGACATTCGATAAGACTATCGGTTTCGATGATTGTGATTATCACGAAGATGCTCACGAAGATAACTGAATAATTGCTACTAAGTACAAAATAATGAAATACGAGGAAGAAAAAGAGTCGAGACAGTTGGAGAGGGAGTAGATAAAAGATGTTATCTCTTGTTATCAAATTCATCGTCCCCCATATCTCCTCCACTAGCTCTGAATCTAACATTTCACTCGTCGAAAAAAAAAATCATTTGTACTATCCCCCAATCAATTAATTAATCAATAATCTATTTCACTTGCAGAATAACGAACGGTGAATTGCACGAACGAAATGAATGGATCCACGTATTTTCCTGATGAATTGAAATTAACAAGTGCTAGAATCGTTGACTATCAACCAACTACGCATAAACCAAGTCTTCGTTTTTGAAATTAAATTTTTTAAAAACTATCTCTCGAACGCACTCGTCAGTCAGCCCGATTTCCCCGCTATTTTCATATCGAGGAAATAAAAAATATCAAAGGTTCTTCCCGAGAAGCTGTGGATTTGGAGATAAGTGAAAAATAATTGATAATTGATTGAAAGAAATGGCAACGATGGCGGGTGGAGAGTACACGTCCGTCAAAGACTTTTACAGAGGAAGATCGATTTTCATAACTGGTGGGACTGGTTTCATGGGGAAAGTCCTAGTGGAAAAGCTGCTGAGGTCCTGCCCCGGGATCAAGAATATTTATTTATTAATGAGACCGAAGAAGAGTCAAAACGTAACTGAGAGGTTACAGGAGCTCCTCAATGCACCGGTGAGTTATCATATTCATTGGACAACTCAATACTCAATTAAATTATGTATTTCCATAATTTATTATTTATAATTGCTCCACTAAAATACGAGCATTTAACAATCAAATTCATCAAAGTTGCCGACGAAATCAGTTGCTAATTTGAAAACACAGTTTAGGTTGATTGAATTAATTCAATTATCTCGGTAACTATTGATCCAAGGGGAATACCTTGAGGGACTTTTTTGTAGCCCATTAAATTATCTCGGAAAAAGGTCCCTTGGGGGTTTTCGGTGGAACTGATATTTTTTCAGATAAATAATTAATAAGTTGTTGATGCAGATGGGTAAAATATAGTTTTCATATTGGAACTTCTAGCTTTTCGATAAACTGCGTCGTGACAGCCCTCACGAGCTCACGAAAATAGTTCCAATCGCGGGAGACGTTACAGAGCCAGAATTAGGAATATCTGCACCTGATCAGGAGACCCTCACGAGATTTGTGTCCGTGGTTTTTCACTCAGCAGCTACTGTCAAGTTCGATGAGGCCCTCAAACTCTCTGTTACTATCAACATGTTAGGGAGTGAGCGACTGGTGCATCTCTGCCATCGCATGGTCAATCTCGAGGTAAGAAATTTCCCATTGAAAATTCGAATTAATGCATGAAGGCATTGAATCCATCAGAGTTGCTGATAAATTCATACATACATGATTGAAAAATATTTCCACTCATTCACTCCAGAGCTCTCGAATTTTCAATTCCAACTGCGTGACGTAATAAATAACAAACTCTCAACATTCGTCATAGCAAATAAATATTTGCATACGTCCACACACCTAAACCCACTATCCTCAATTTTTCTGCGAATCCATTATCGTCTAACTAAAGAGTCTCGGTAATTTCCACTTCCTTCAGAATAACGATAGAAAAATATCATCCCACATCCCGAAGATGTTTTTTTTTATAAATCGCCAGAATTGATTTAAGCGAATTACTTATTCCTAAAAAATAAAAAGTCTCTGAGGTATTAAAATTATGCTGACGCCGAATTAAATTGTTCTTCACAGGCTCTGATTCACGTGTCAACAGCCTACTGCAACTGCGACCGTACGGACGTATCAGAAACAATTTATCCATCGCCGCAGGACCCAGAGCAGGTGATAGCCTGCACAAGGTGGATGAATGACAAATTAATCGAGGAATTGACACCAAAACTGATAGACGGTCGGCCAAATACATACACATTCACAAAAGCCCTTGCGGAAACAATGCTGCAGGGTGAGAGTGGCTCACTACCAGTGGCAATCGTGAGGCCGTCAATAGTTCTGTCATCGCTGCGAGAGCCAGTGGCCGGTTGGGTTGACAATCTCAACGGTCCAACTGGAATAATAGCAGCTGCTGGCAAGGGTTTCTTCAGAACAATGCTCTGTCACGAGAACAAAGTCGCTGATTTCGTTCCTGTCGACATTGTCATAAATCTCATGATATGTGCAGCATGGAAAACAGCAAGTCATCGCACTGACACTATAACAGTCTACAACTGCTGCACTGGCCAGCAAAATCCAATAACCTGGAAGGAATTCATCGAGCTGTCATTCAAATACAGTCGAATACATCCGGCTAATGATGCTGTTTGGTATCCGGGTGGTCGGTGTCAGAAATACTCACTGATGAACAAATTGTCTGGTGCATTTCAGCACATATTGCCAGCGCACATCCTAGATTTTATCGCTCGGCTCAAGGGCTCCAGGCCTATGATGCTACGCGTACAGGCCAAATTGAGCAAAGCTGCTAGCTGCCTCGAGTACTTCACAACGCAACAGTGGAATTTTAGGGATGATAATGTTAGGAAACTTGGGGAGCAGTTGAGCCCTGAGGATCGTCAAATATTCATGTTTGACGTCAAGCAGATCGACTGGCCATCGTATTTAGAGAATTATATACTTGGGATACGGCACTTTATTCTCAAGGAGAGTCCGGATACACTGCCAGCAGCTCGTTCACATATTATGAAGTGAGTTTTCATTTTGTTTTCTCGCGATTGTGTGTCAATGTAAACACAATCCTCAGAAAAATTATTTTTTAATGCTTGTGCAATTTAATATTGATCGGTGGATTTTGGTTTGTTTTTTTACAGATTATATTGGATCCAAAAGACTATTCAGTTTGGAACAATACTTGTTGTCCTTCGTGTCCTTCTCTCCCGCAGTTCCCTAGCTCGATCAGCGTGGTTTGCACTCCTGTCAATCGTACTTCGCATGTGTCGTATGATTGTTTGACGGCTCAACGCCAGTTACCCACTGAGATATCATCATCACAATACCTATATCGCCCGTAATGCAAAAACTCAGCCAATGTGCATAATGGAGCTTGTTTTACAAGTGCGAATTGTTCAGCGATCTCCACAGCTCAGCCACTCCCGACAAATAATTCGCTTTTATTCGCTCCAATACGTTTGGCTTTTTCAATGTTTTTAATTGAGAGGTTGGTGAACAGTTGAAATTTCATCAAAGTATAGACGCCGATAAACAGATAAAGCAACGTCGGCAACCGAATTCATTGTTTTTTATAAATCCTTTGACTGTAATTAATGAAGATCGATACAATGGAATTGCTGAAGCCACTTCGCTTCTTCCAATTAGATTCAGTTGTCGAATTAATCTCAATGCCCTTTTAGATTATTTTATTTCGCTTTAGCCTCCGACAATTGTGCGTTCATTTTTATAGTCAATTTGTGATATATTTCATAATGGTAATTGGTGATTGAGGCAGTTCTCGGGATTACAATGCTGAGGTGGTGAAAATAAATAATTCGGTGTCCGACAGTCTTTTATTCCATCTTGTTACCCCTTGTGAGATACCTAGATTGACATTTCTCGATGCAACTTGATGGGAATCGATACTTTTGCTTGATACGTATTTTATTTGTTACCGTTACATCTTTATTTCGTGATGACACTCCTGTTTACGCTGCGTTGCGCAAATAAAGTGTCTCTCTCTTTACTTCTGAGACAAGTTCAATAATCATCCTACCAAGTGTCGAGTACTGCCACTGCTCTGTCAGATGTTAGTCCGTAGAAAAAATGGAAACAGAGCGAAAAAATATGAGAAGTGAAATACCAAAATTCAGACTTAATACTTAAAGAAATAGGCATTTTTTTATAAAATACTGAACGATTAATATTCAATCCTGATGTCTCTGTGTATCTTGCGCACTTTAATTCTCACATTCGTCGACGTATTACCGAATTTTGAAGGCATTGGCAACGTTTTTCGCAAAAACAAAAAAACACAAGGTGAAGAACAAAATATGTCCGATTTTACTAGAAGACAGAATACATTAAGGAGTGGAGGTGTGAGGTTTTAAAACGAACACTTTGAAACCTGGTGAATTTAAAATAATCCAAACCAACATTAATGAGTAAATTAAGGAAAATTATATGAGATATGAAATTGTAGTTTTAGTTAGATGAAAAATTGTAAATACGAAGTTGTTGCTGCTAAAAGTGGGTAATGGAGCAGTGTTATGTATGATATAGCTATTAATTTCAACTGTCGTGAGTTGATCCAACAAAAGTGAAGAGAAGCATTAGAAGCTGTTTGCGTTGTCGAAGGAGAATTTCATCCATTGAATCTATTTTTTTTTTGTTTTGAGTTTAGAGAGCAATCGATAGCGTCAACCAGTGCAATTATCATTTTTTTTTGTGTATCCAACTTCTGTGTTATACCGATGAAGCTTTACTATTTGATTGTAATGATACGAATAGGGGAGTTATTTATTTGCCCAGCAGACTCACTCAAGCCACTATTCGTATAAATAATTATAGAGATAGTTGTCATACATTTATTCGTGACGAGAACAGACTGGAGAATATCGAAATTTGTTTTCTGTTCACGTAAAATATTCGTAATGCTCGATGGGAGGGAAAGGGGGTAATGGATGTTTCGGATTTTATTATATTCATAACTGCGTAATTTGGAGTGAAATATGTCGGATTTTATTTTTGTTAAATATCCATCGATCTCACAAGATATTGATTTTAGGAAAAAATATGAAAAGGTCTTTCCTTTCAGGAATTTAATGAGCTACGAAAAAGTCCTTTGACGGTTCCATCTCAAATCAATACTCTTCGAGATCTATCGATAAAACCAAAAATTTAAATCCTACTTATCTTGCACTTATAAACATTATTAATTGAAATGTGTATTTAAAAATATATTTGATTGGCCGAATCGATATGAAAAAATATATAAAATGTATGTGTTATATATATTTTTTTGTGTATTCTTGGTGAATTAAAAAAATATACTTTTCGACGTGTGACTTGAATTGATTAATTGAGCTGAGCTCATTACAGAAGAGGACTCTGAGAGAAAAATACTTTGAAAAATGGTTTTGAAATCGGAAGGGTCCATTTAGCCCTCATCACTCATCATTTTCCAATGCCAGATTAATTTATTTGTCATTAGTATGTTCTAGGGTAGATTAATTTAATTATCCATTTCCCAGTGTCTGTGAACCTGGATTGAAATCAATGGAGAGGATGATGAAGAATTAATGTTTATCATTTTGCAATTGATGATGTCTTTGAAACCGGCCGTGCTATGAATAGTCAATATTTGTATGTATTTGTGAATTTTCGTGTCCACCTGTTGCCTGTGCCTTTAAGATATCTCAAATGCTGATGATTTTAATCGGATGTACTGTTTTATTAATTTGTCTGTTCGTTGTATCGGTACGAGTGGGCTTCCCTCAAAGCAAAACCAAAATGAATAATAAAACGTGAGAGATTATTAACGAGAACAGCTGAAATTCAATATTTATTCTGTCGTTCATCGCTGTCGAGGAATAAGGGGTGGATGCGGGGGTAGAAAATGTTTTAATGAAATTTCGAAATCATTCTGTAACGATTGAACGGTTTAGCGTGACACGTGAGTGTAGGGGATGGGAAAAATTTTTATTTAGGGTGAGTAATTTTCGAGAGGTAGCACTGTGAAGGCAACCATCAGCTAGTCTCGTTTGTAACGTAATTCGGTCACACGATGCATACCACAAAATAATATTTAAATATTATTAATTTCATGAATATTATACTGTATGATGATTATAGAAATACATTGAGAAAGAAAACTTATGGAATGTCGTGTTATTCGTCATTATTTATCCTTTCTCTCCTTTTCCCAATTCAATGAACAATCGACTGATCGATATTCAGCCAAATGAATGGGAGGATAATAATTTCTTTTTTTTTTTTCAACTTTTTAATCGGAAAAAAATTGATAACAATTGTACAGTGATGTAATTTTCCTTTATTGCACTTACATAAAATTCACGTCAGTGATTCGTGAAAAACTGAGCCGATCACTGATAAACTCACATTAATGATTAAATAAATAAATAAAATAAATTAAACTACAACGGAAAATGAAATACGTCAAACAAGAAATGACAATTGAAATCAACAGGAGTCATCGACTCGGCGCGTTTTGTCAGTGATGATAATTGATGCAATAAATAAATAAATGATGATTAATAATAAATGATGAAATCATCGAATACTGTCTAATATTGGGTGGATCCAGTGGTAAAAAGTCAGCGATCGTGGCAAAAATTTCCAACGTTAAAATAAAATACATCATTCAAGAGGCATCGCGACAACCATCAGTCGTGTCAATTAATCAGTAATTAATCAACTAATCGTTACAGTAATTAACTAGATAAGTTCCTAACGCGTACTTTCCGCTAAACTTTAAATCCGCTGATTTGCGTATTTATTGTAAACTTTAAACTCTTGAGAAACGAGGATGAGCCAATTAATAGCGGAAGGGTGATAATGTTATCACCAAGCTGATGCATCAACTCTAAAAATCCCCGCGATCGATCGAGTTTCTACGCAAGTTTCGATTTATTAAAAAATCTTCAACTAGAATCTGTAAAAATCAATTGCGATGCAACGCATTCAAGTTAACTGTCAAATCTAGCGATTCCGTTGGACATTTCAATTTCAATTTTTATTCAATTGTCTATTAATCATATACCAATTCTCCTGAAAGATTCAATACAACTCCCACCTCATTCCCCAGTCTCTTCCTACCATTCTCCCTTTCCCCATTTTCCCCATAAAAAATCCCACGAATAATCATTCTAAAATTAATCAATTGACAATTCATTATCCATTAATTAATTACTTGAATCATGATAAAAAATTAATCTTCAACGAATTCTTCGTCAATTCGTGATGAAGAATTCCATTATTTTAAACTGACACAAGAATGGATTAAATATAATTTGATAATCCAACGATCAGATTTATCGATGAAATAATTTCCGCCTGGAATGGACGTTTCAACCCCCGATGAATAAATATAAATAAATAAAAATTCAACCTAGACTATCGGTAGCAGTACGCGCCGAATTACAAAATAAAAATAAATACCTAAGAATTCGTAATAGCGTCGTAAAATAGAAAATACTGCACAGATAGCTAGAGAACACAGTGGAGTTACAAAAATATTGGTTCACCCGGAGGACATTTAAATCAACCTAGAGTCCATAATCATGAGTGGAATAATCTCAGGCTGAAATCAGACGACATGATCAGGCTAATACTGTTTGGGCATCGAAGACGTATTCTTCATCATCCACAAGTGTCCATCCCCCATTGAACTTGTCGAGGACGAATTTTCTTATCAGGTATAATTAAAGTTATATCAGCTGATTCCCAAACTCGTCATCAAGTTTCTCTTCATTTCGCTGTAATGAAAAAAAATAATCATCAGATATTCTCCCTCTCCCAGAAATCAAAATCTCTCCCATTTTTAACATTTTTTTTCATCACTCTCAACCAATCACAGACTGGATCTAAATCCGAGACAAATTAAGATTGTCCCAATCAAGGAGACGAAAATAAGTCTTGAAAAATCATAACATCGTAAATCTAAACACTTTATCATCTATTACGAGCATAAGATCATCCGGGTCTCGCAACAGTTCTCCAAGATTACGTTTGACAAGAAAAACAAGGGTTAAAAAAAAAATTATTGCGATAGGTAAATCAGGATTAGATTATGGAAGGCTCACCAGTAATGAGGGGATTATCATCTCGGCACTTGTCTCTTCGCTGCTCGACTCGGATTGGCTGCCGAGTACCTGAAGAAAACGGCGGAGTCTTCGAAGATCGAATTCAACGCTCGATCGCCTCCTGCGTCCTCTGAAAATCACGCGAAATGAGGAAAATATGAGTTATTGTTTTTCCACTGTTACTGCGATATTTTAAATAGCACGTGTCAACAATAGCCGTTGGTTATCAATTGCTTACAGCTCCCGAGGATAATTTATCCCGGTGTGACGTCAATGACACCTTTATTGCCATCAGCAGTTTGAAAAATGCAATTCCTTCGGCTTTTACTACACCAGTGCGTAAACACGTCAGGTATTCTTCGATGTAATTAAAAAGGGAAGTGGCATCATCGAAGCATCAATTATAATAAACCAGTAATTCAGGAATAGTTAATTGCAAAATGGAGGTGCGCATTTTTTGAAATATAAAAAAGAGCGAAATACAAGTGATTTATTATTTTTGTGCTAATGTTTCTTAACATTTGTTTCTCTCGGAGAATTTTTTTTATACATTCAAGAAGCTGTCCCTGAGGAAATGAATTGAGCGTTCTATCAATTCCTTGGGATATCTCGGAATTCCCGCTACCCCAATAAATGAATTTGCGCCCTGAGCGAGTCAATATCGTTTGTGAATGCAAATTTATTCGCAACGTACAACTGCATGGCAGGTGTAACTCGATTATGCTGATGTCATGAGAGGAATATGAAGGTGTCATTTTTGCGGTGAAAACGGTGGAATCACTCCCCCGGGGGCAGTTCAAGATGGAAAATGGAGCTAAGACCCTGGCAAGTCGGCCCTTCTGGTGATAACAATAGATAATCCATCGCAATTTTTATCAATGAGTTGGAATCAGGGACGAGTTGCCAAGTTTTGTGCAATGCCACGGGAATTTATTCATCCTTTTGACGCGTGCCTCTTATCGGCTTGTCATGTGTGTGGGATTATTTGAGCACTTGGGGATTTTCTCGGTAATCGGGTGACTCGCGATATTCGGCGGCTGAGAGGAAGAGCATTTTCACGGAATTCTTAAACTATTTTTAATTATCAATTTTTCATTCAATTTTTCATTTGCTAAGTGGGACGAGTCGATTTTAACAATTTTTTTATTATTCAAAACGGTTTTTATAGAAGGAACTAGTGGTTTACCGGGGAAACGATATGGGAGTTTTTTGTTGCTGATTGAATTTCTGAGGGAAAAGGGCTTTTGACTTTTTTTTGTAGAATCGATATTTTTTTGATTATTCGATATCGAAAATTGAAAAATTTTAATGGTTTTCGTTGAAGTTGATAACTGGAATTATTAAAAATTACTATTATCTCGGAAACTATTGGTTTTCAGGGGAAACGTTATAAGAATTTTCTGTTGCCGATTAAATTCCCCATAAAAAAGGTCTTTTCGTATTTTCTCGTAAAATGTATCGTTGTCCAGATTCATCACTATTTCGTGTGATCGAAAAATTTTACTTTTCTTCAGTTCGCTGTGAAATGGCTTTTGGTTATAAAATTACGATAAAAATAATGAAATAAAAAAATTTCACGATATTGGATCCAAAATTGAAGTAAAATTAGTGGCGATCGAGGGAATCGATTGCCTTCAGGACGAATCACTTCACTTCATTATGAAATTCGAATAAAAACCGCGACGACTCGGTGAGGGAATCAACGACCATTAATGCGATTAATCGCAATGAGATTAATTATCGAATGAACTTACATTTTGTCTGGATCCACTTTGCCGAAGCCGACAGGTACTGTAACAAGTTTGCCGCGTAAATTTTCTAAAGCTATTAGTGTCTCCAACTCAGCGAGTCGCTGATCTGACGTGCGTTTGTGGCGGCTGAAAATATAAAATATAAACATTAATTTTTCATCCCCCTCAGCAGACGCAGGAAAAAACTGAAAAATTGGCATTAGCATTCCCACGATTTCCCGGAAGAAAACCGATCTCAATTCAATCGAAAATTATCAACGGTATTGCATCAGCCGATTCGGACATATCCAGTTGCATCGCGCGCTCTTACGCCCTTTCATGTCCCAATTACTCCTCATGATTCCCCGGAGAATTAATGAAAAATACCCTCAAAATCCATTAACATATTTTCCTATTTCAATCCAACGGATTAACAAAACCACTCAATATTGTTTTACATAATTTTTTAAGCTCTGGAACTCTCAAACATTCCGATAAAAAAATCAAAACTAACGACAACATTCTGCCGTCGAAATTTCAATTAACAAAATAAATTGATTCGATAAAAATAATCCCAAAATCCTGCAACTTTTCTATAGAATAATTTCAAAAATATCCGTATTGAAAATATCTTCAGTATTGATGTAAAAAAATGGGAATACCGAGGTATTGAAGATATTGTTAAGAACAATTACCCAATAGTGATAGCAGAGGGTCTTGCGTGTGTGAAATCCGCGGTGAGGGCCACCAGGACAATGATGCTCACAACACCAGCAGAACTGAACACCCTGATACTCATAATTACTGTATCCAACTTCGAAATGAACTCTGAAAATCTCAATCCCCAAAAAAGCTCACACACTTGTTCACAGGAATCCACAGATCGGCGATGATTTTGATAAAAAAAAATATATGTAACCGTGAAAATTCAACAGGTCTCCCAGGTATTTGAAAACAAGTCTCTTTTCGGTATTGTCTCTTGGTGAACTGTACCATAGCCGATCTGCTTCTCGCATATATACTCCAAGAGCGATGAAGCCACCTCCCTCCACTCTCGTTGGAGCCTCCCTCACTTTTATCTTGCGTTTCACTCTGCCACCATGCGACGAGCCCTCCAGATCATTCCCCGCCCGCCACCCCCTCAAAAAAAAAAATTTGTTAATCCCCGGTCACTTGAAGTCCAGGTTGTGACAAATCGAAAGAACCAGTGGTTCACGGGTCTTTCAGAGGTCCTTCCACTCCAAATAATTATAACGTCGATTGTGGTAGACGCTAATAATTCGGAGTAATCAGCTTATCAGTCATACTCGTGATGATCAATTAATATTAATATTTCAATTAATTTAATTCATTGTAATTAATATTTAATTCATCATGTAATGATTAATTTATTGTGGCTGTAAAGAATTGAGAAAAAAAAATGGGGAAAGCTCACGATTGCACCCCATTTTGTTAATTTATATATATATTATATATTTCTTTGGATTTATTTTATTTTTATTTAATTAACTCGGTTAATCAGTCCACGTCGGCTTTCGTCAGGATTTTTTTCCATTTCGATGATTTATGATTATCATTATTTTTATTTAGGGGTTGTATACCCCGAAGTCTCGGGGAATCCCCACAGGATTTTCAATTCGATTACGAATTTATAAATCACTGCTTTCTCAATCAAGACGTACGTCATCTCTGAATTTCTCATTTTTTTTTCACGCTATTCAATTCAGCGGAGTAACAAGTCGACTTGTTCCCTAATCGAGTCTCCTAGGAATATCTCTGAATCTACGCGAAATAGCGAAAAATTTCTCAGCATCTTTTCTTGAGACTTAAATCAGAGCTACAAAAAAGATTCTCACAAAAATTTCGCACTGTCGATTGCTGCAGAGATATTCCTCCAGAATCAACTTATTCAAAATTCCCCCTAAATTTCCCCAACAAATTCGGGATTTTTTCACATTAAAAAATCCCGTATCCACATAATAAATTCCAATTCAACTGATTCAAAAAATTATTCAATTTTTTATTCAATTTTTTATCCAATTTTTTATCCATTTTTTTATCCAATTTTTTATCAAATTTTTTCTGGCTGACACCGTGAGATATTTCTTTTCCGAAATTTTATAAACAATTATAGTATGCGCTAAACCCCCGAGTATTTTAATTAATAAAGACTTTATTGGACATTTTCGGAATATTTTAATTATTTGAATTGATGGTGGAACTTTAGACTCAGGGAGATCAGAACAGGATAGATATATTCTGAGTTCTGACCTAGGTCAATTCCTCACGACGACCCAGCGAGTGGCTTCAACACCAATCGGGTCAGTGTAATTGCACTTATTCGTATTGCACCAGGACTTCTCTCAATGGCAATTAACCACCCACATCTGTTATTCCTTTTCGTGAGTGCTGCGTATGAACGGTGAGAATGGATCAGAATTCAATATATTATTCCAAATTTTCTGTCCTCACGAATTTTCCCAGAGAGACCCTATTCAATCCCCAAACACCTGCATTCAACTATCTAATTACAAAACAGCAATTAAATTCTTTAGAAAATTCACGAAACTGAGAGCACATCTATAAATAACGCACCTTTCGCGATAAGAAAAAGGGAAAATATCGAGGAGAGATATAACGCGATCTGTTTCCGGAAACTCTATTTTCCTGAGGAAAATATTACATTCTATTTCCCACAGCTCCGGGGGATCCTGCGATGCATGCGATACATTATTGTTATTAATTGAAAAAAATATGTGTTATCCTCAGGCGTCTGACGCTAAACCGTGAGTTTTCCGCGTAGTTCTTTCATCACGAGTGCAGATTCGGTCTTGACCTACACCAATCCAGTCTCACGTCGTCTCTACAACAGATATATATCGGGAACTTATTGCTAACCAGTTTGCACGTACATTTGCATTTGCCATTCAGCGGTCGTTCTCGCGATAGAAAATGTCCTGAAAGACGAACAGTATCTCATGATCTATCGAGAGCATCCAATATCTCTCGTTAAACGCTGCATTTCAATTCGAGAATATAAATAATCCATTGAACTTCTCGGTGAAAATAATCCAATAAAAGCACCCATTTTGTTATTCCATCAAATAACTCTAAATAATTCTATTCAAATAATTCCCTTACAAACTTGAAAAAGTGAAATTTTCCATTAAACTGCAATTTTTCCATTAATTACTCCCGGATTATTTATATTCAGTAAAAAATTAATTTTAATTAATTCATTTTTAAAGAAATTAGATCATTCAATTTGGGAATTTAAATTGGAGCTGCATTTGGGGGACCATTGGCGTCGAATTTTCGGTGGTTATTAATTTTGTTGGAAATCGAAAGGAAATGTTAAACAAATTGAAAGATCGGTCAATGGACGTGAGTGCGAGACGTTGCTGTTTGTCCGTGACATTTTCTCAAAGGTTTTATTCGAGTAAAAGAAAAAATTGCTGAATCACGCTGGCTCATAATGTAATCAGGTCTAAGTTGCAAGAAGATAGTTCGATTGCGTCACCAGCGATCACACGCTCGTGAGAAATCGTTCGTTTTGATAATGTTCATTGATTGATAAAAGATATCTGAAATATCTGAAATTCACTCCATACGACTCATTTCACCGGAATAATCGGGTGATCGATTCTGAAATTATTTCATTATTAAGGGATTTTAGGAGAAGACTAGTCAGACGAATTATTTTTACTTTATTAATTATTTTTTTAATTATCCATGAATCCTTCAGGAATTTATATAATTATTTGCATTAAGTTAATCATTTTAATATTTTTATTAAGTGTGATTTACAATTAA